TGTAGAATGGAGAAGATTGTTCTGGGAGGTATTCAAAAACACCTGAAAGACAGTGCAGTCATTGGCCACAACAAGCAGGGCTTCATGAGAAGAAAGTCCTGCTTATCAAACCTTGTTTCCTTTTATGACAAGATAACCTACCTAGCTGATCAAGGGAAGACAGTTGATGTAATATTTTTGGATGTCAGTAAAGCTTTTGATACTATCTCTCACAGGATCCTCCTGGACAAGATGTCCAGCACACAGCTGGATAAACACATTGTGTGGTGGGTAAACATTTGGCTCATGGGCCGAGCACAGAGGGTGATAGTGAATGGGGTGACATCAGACTGGTGACCTGTCACTAGTGGAGCTCCATCTTGGGCCCTGTGCTCTTCAACATCTTCATAAATGACTTGGATGCAGGACTGGAAGGGATACTGAGCATATTTGCAGATGATGCAAAACTTGGAGGAGCTACTGACTCCCTCGAAGGCAGTGAGGCCCTACAGAGAGATCCGAGAAATTAGAGGACTGGGCAACCACTACCCATATGAAGTTCAACAAGGGAAGGTGCCGGATTCTGCACCTGGGGTGGGGCAATCCTGGATGTACATACAGACTGGGGAATGACATGCTGGAAAGCAGTGACACTGAAAGGGACCTGGGGAGCTGATGGCAAGTTAACTATGAGTCAGCAGTGCCCTGACAGCCAGGAGGGCCAACTGTGTCCTGGGGAACAGAGAAGAGGAGACTGAGGAGAGTCCTCATTTCAGTCTACAACTTCCTTGTGAGGCGAAGAGGAGGGGCAGGCACTGATCTCTTCTCTGTGGTGACCAGGGACAAGATGTGAGGGAATGGCCTGAAGTTGTGTCAGGAGAGGTTTAGATTGCATATTAGAAAAAGGTTCTTCATCCAGAGGGTGGTTGGGCACTGGAACAGGCTACCCAGTAAGTGGTCCCAGCACCAAGCCTGACAGTTCAAGAGGCGTTTGGATGAGACTCTCAGGCACATGGTGTGACTCTTCAGGATGGTCCTATGCAGGGCTAACACTTGAACTCAGTAATCATTGTGGGTCCCTTCCAAGTCAGCAGATTCTATGATTCTGTAGGAAAGGGTGTGGTAATGTCTGTGGACCAAACCTGTTGAAGTAGGTCCTGCAGAAGAAGTGGAAATTGTTTTACTTGGATTTTGAAAATTCTGTTGTTACATTGAATTTGTCATACTCTGCAGAAGGAGATATTTTTGTGCATTTTTCTAAAAAAAACCCATGTCTGAGGTAAGAAGAGGGCATTTGAGGAGACCTTGTCCTAGTCCATTTAGCTGAAGGAAACATTGTAAGGGATGTATAAATGTTCTTACTCTACTGAAGAAATTTCCAGGTAACCAATACCTATGTGTGTATTGGCTGATGTATTTCAGTAAAGGCAATGGGTAAATGTAAATTCCTGACAGAAAGTGCTAATTTTCTGAAGAAAACTGTAGTGGAACTGTCTGTATGTTGTGAGAAAACAGCAGTGATGCTTAGGATTTCCCCATGAAAGTGGGACAAAAGGTCATATTATTCTCGTTGTCTGTTGCATTCAGACCTTATTAAATATGTCATCACATGCCTTTTAAGACATTCCACCCTTGTTGAATGGATCAACCCTTTGTATAATTGATCATAGATTCCAAATTCAGCTGCTTTTGAGGCCATATACCAGCTTTGGGAGGTCGTATCCTCTGTTTAGGCTGCCTTGACACAGCATGAGCAGCAGTATCTAACCAGAAGGGCAGAGGGGACAGTAGCTGGCTGGTTCATCTCAGCTTGCACATGGTTAAGGAGCAACTTGCTTGTCTGCAGCAGTTGTATCTGGATACCAGACTCTACACGTAGCCTGGACGTGTTCAGCATTTAGGAAGGCACATGCTGACTAAGCAGCTATTCCTCATCTCCTCTGGAAAAGCCATAATTTTGGTCCTTACCATTTTCCCATCTTGATTACTGTGAGATTCACCTCTTGTTTGGTTTTTGATGGCATATCTTGACAAACATATATTGAGACAGTCTGTCATTCACCTTTTTTTCTGTTTTTTCCCCTGTCGTGCTATCTGCAGGTTTCTAAACAAAACAACCTCACTGGCCCTAAATTACAGCTTCTCTCCTGCAAGCTCTCCTGTGTCTTGCACATCTGCCTTTCACATTTCCAGAGACACCAGCTGTGAATTAGCTTTTGTATCTTTGTCCTATGAACATCCCAAGCTCCCTCCTCTCCCTGGTTACTTTTCATTGTAATTTTCAGCTGTTTAAGGGTTTTGCTGGAAACTATGGTAATGTTTGAATCAAAATTGCCTTGGTTAGAGGGGCCCCTAAATGCTGGTGTGATACTGTGTCCTGATGGAAATGGTATTTGCAGAGCAGTGTGCTGAACGACCCTTCTGGTCCTCCTCGTTTTTGTCTGGGAACAATTTTTGAACTGGTAGCAACTTATTGGTTTGTTTTAATGTGTTGTCATGGTGTTTTTATTCTGCAGGGTAGAGGAAATTTTTGCAGTTCTCTTACCTTGTTTATGGCTTGAACCTGAATAGCCAGGCTGGAGTCAGGCTGATTGGATCAGAGAAAAGGGGTCAGTTGGGGTGCAGATTTACAGTTAGGGAAATAATCACACCACTGGTGTGAGGGAGGCTTTATTAATTAATTTACATGCCTGCAAAAGAAGAATTTCAGCTCCAGTGTCTGGCACTCAGAGCTTTTTGAGTGGAGCTGCATCCAGTCATTTTAAAAAGTTTTGAGTATCCCCCAGAGAAAAAGGCTTAGCTGGTACCTAACATTTTCCTCTCCAGGGATGTAAAGTTTTAGCCTGAGTAGAACTGACTAACTTCAGGCCTTCTATGTTAATTTTTGTAATGAACTGACATTTTGTTTATAGCCATTGCTATTTTCTCTTAGCTGTAAGGGAATATTTTCAGTGCAACTTTTTTGTTATTGAATAGATTTCCCTCAAGTTTGGGTTTACAAAAACATATAAATGCACACATGTATTTACTGCCACAACACCATATTAGTAAAGATTTTGGCAGTAACCTAACAAACTGTGAGACTTTACTGGTGAGACAGAAGAATGCTTCATTTCTTGAGCAGTCTCTTGAGTTAAGTAGCTTTTTCTCATCATAGTTGCTTGACTGTTTATACCACTGTGGTTATCAGAGATTTTATTATTGTTATGGGTTATAAACTCTTTATCTCTCTCACACATCTTTTTTGTAGATTGCTGATAGCAGGTTGCAGAAAATGCCTATTTTTAAAAAATGCTGTATGATGTGTTTAGAGAACAAGAGTTTCCGGAATCTTGCCAGTATTTTTTAATGCAAGAACATTACCCCCTAAAAAAGCATTTTGTTGACATTTTTTGAATTTGGATTAGTGTGTCTCTGATTCTTTCTATGCAGTACAGCCTGTACTGCTTGGCGTCACTGATTGTTTTCTCTGTGGAGAAATCCCAAAAAAGGTTTTTGTTTGTTAACCTGTGCTCTGGCCAAGAGCTTGGCCAGTTGCACCAGAGTAGAACAGAAATAGACAGGATCAACCTCTATGTGGGACAAAAGTTATGTATCCTGAAAGCTTTTAATAGGAGACCTGGCAGAACTGGCTTTTTGTTTACTGCAGGAGCACTGACATTCTCCCAAAGTGGTGAAGAGACTAAAGTCCCTGGTGGTTTGGCTCTCACCAAGTGGAAAGGTGGATTCACAGCCATGTGTGCAGCCTTTCAAAATTTTAAATGCTATTCAGTGGAGTTAAATGCAGGAAATGGAAAATGTCTTTTACCTTTCCTATAGAAAATAACAAGTTTTCTGCTGATTTCAGCGTTATATCAGAATTACCCGAAGTTTAGACTTGTATACGCAAGGATGGGACAATGCCAAAGGACATTATTCACAGAAAACTTTGCTTTGCCTACAGATTGAATATCAGGACTATTAGATTTTCAAGGGAACATAGAAATTTTTTAGGAAAAATAAAACATGAGGAAGTTAACCAGCAAACCAATCAATGTGTGATGATCGGTATGAGCAGGAAAGGGTGTGTTATATCTTGGCTCACTATCATAAAAAATTGCTACTGTGGGATTTGGCATGGTAGCATATGTAACTGAAAATGAAATTTGAACTTCTTTCATGCTAACAGAAATAAGTTTCTGCCTTATTTCTTTCTCATTAAAAAATGCAATCGAAATATTGAGAGAAAAGTTTGAAACATTGATTTCATTTTGAAGGCATATTATTAAATCTCTTGAGGGCTTGTTGATCTTGAATCATTTCATTTTCACAGTGTTTCAGATTGAAAATTATTAGTAATTCTGTTTAAGTTGCAGCTAAATTACTAATTAACTTTCATCTCAAAGATTTTATTTCTTACATGTTTCTGGCAGCACAGTGCACTCTTTACAAAATGCAGCAGAATTTTTTTGTTACCTGCCTCTCTGTGCTTCTTAAAATCATATAAAGCAGGTTTGGAATTAATGAGCTGTCACATCTCGGATAATGAATGAAAAGAACTGACAGAAATTCTTTTGTTAGTTAAGAAATTCCAAATAATTAATGGGAAAAAAATGATAGAGGTTCTTTTAGGATTTAAGAAGAAATACATCTTTCAAATTGTTTCCATAACTGAAGAAACTTTAGAATATTTTTGCAAAAAAAGCAGGGACCCTGCTTAATGGGTTAATTCCAGTTCTCCCTTCTGAGATAAACTTGCAGAATTTGAGATATATGTTTTGAGAAATAGCTTCCTGGAGTGCACGTTCCCCATTCCAGATTCATCTCAAAAGTAAGAAATTTTCTGGATTTTGCTATTGTGGGCAAACTTGAATTAAGAACTTGGCACATTTATAGTGAACATGTTTCACATACATAGTAGAGTTTGTAAACTACAGTGCAGATTAGATTTGGGGAGGGCAAGGTATTTCTTTATGTTTTATTTCTAATTTATGAAGTCCTGTTGTAAGCTATTCAGAATAACCTCTACTGCTGTTTTTCAGGTAACTGTCTCAGATGGGGGCACATCTCCCAGGCAGTCCTCCGTTTGGGTGGTGGTCCAGGTTCTGGATGAGAATGATAACAAACCACAGTTTCCAGAGAAAGTCTATCAGGTCAAGCTGCCAGAGCGGGACCGTAAGAAAAGAGGGGAGCCAATCTACAGAGCTTTTGCTTTTGACAAAGACGAAGGCCCTAATGCAGAAATCTCATACAGCATTGTGGATGGAAATGATGATGGGAAGTTCTTTATTGATCCCAAAACAGGGATGGTTTCTTCCAGAAAGCAGTTCACAGCAGGGAGTTATGACATCTTAACAGTAAGTGCTTTTTCACTGACATACAAACCCATGATTTGACTGACTTTGTTTTTAGAAATAGGCCCTCCTGTATAAAGCGTGATATATGACTGTTTTTACTGTATGACCTATATGTAAGATCTGACTTATTAAGATCTGACGAATTAAGAAATACAGGATTCATATACAACTACTGCCAAAAAATTGAGTCTGAGAGATCGCTCATACTATTGCAGGTAGTGAACTACTCTCAGAGTGTTAAGACAACTTGTTGACATATGCCATTTCCTTGAATACACAGAAATGAAGAGCAAGCACTTGTCTGCTTGCAAAGTTGTATCGTTATGGAGTGGGCAGATACAGCTATGAATGGGTGTTAATTTTTTATGTGGACACAGTTGTACTGTCTCAATTTGGTGGCTTCACCCAAGAGAGGAGGAGTACTGTGTACTCTGTGTTTTGGTACCCTTCTCAACATATTAAACTCTTTAAGTATGGCAGCAATTTCAGCTAAAAGGCATCTTCATCAACATTCCTTCAAACTACGTAGTCAAAGTCAAAGAAAGGGAAAATACAGTATAGTGGGGTTGATATAAAGCAGTATAAGACTGGAATGAACACTCTACAGAAGTCAGCCAATGCGTTGTAGTTAAGGAGTTGGAAAAAATTGTCAGAGGTCCGTGGTCTGACGACCCATAGTAAAGGATCTGATGTCTCTTACAGTAGCAGGTCTCTGTTGGGATACCTTCATAAAGTTGGAAACTGTGTTAGGCAAATGAATAAATAACAAAATATTGAGAAATACTTAGCATCAGAGTAGAGCAGCCTTTGAGTGAGTGAGTACTTTCCCCTCTGGAGAGCTTGAAGTCATATCTGAGATCTGACCCTTATTATAATACAACAACTGAAGATTTTCTACCTTGAAAATGGTCATCACGCACCTTTTTCCTAAGGGCTCACCTGCCTAGAATGGAGCAGGGTGGTGAGTGTTAGCATCAAACCCACTTAAGATATTTCCAGAGGAAGGCATAGGGTAAAGTATTTCAGAAAAAAAAATTTCTCATTTTTAACAGGTATAGTAACAACATAATTACACCTGTGGTCCTATATAGCCAGAAACATTTCCTTTAGTTTTAAAAGAAAAGCCCTTTGGTTAATATTGATGTTATCCTCCTAAGCACCCATTTTGTAACCTGCATTCATCCTTCTCTTAAGCCCAATGTTTGTTGCTGCTCATCTTGTCTTTGCTGTGCTAAATCCATAAAGCATGCCATGCAAATATCAAGTCTATTCATCTTTCTAGAGGACTTCATAATAAAAAGAATTAGCACCAAGCATAGCAACTCCTAATGAAAGAGAGGAGAAATAATATAAAATAAAATATGGCAATATTTTAAATTAGATTTGTTATGGAGAGTGGGGGAAATGACCTGAAACTTATTTAACTCAATTAAAGATCCTGAGGAAAGCAATATAAGGAATTATATAAAATAAAAAATAACTAGTCTTATCTGCAACACAGATGCCATTTAAAAGCAATCAGACATGCTCTGGGTGAGCATGTTTTGCAAATGCATGGTCTCACAAAGGGTCATTATAAAGCTTACAGCTTTGATGCAAGAAGGAGCTGGGTTAAAATGAAATTGGAGAGGAAGACTGGTTCTGGAGAGGAGGAGCTATGTGGGAAGCACTTGAATTGCATCTCCATACACCAGCGGCCATACACCAGCATTTCTAAAACAAAACATTTCCATTTAAAATCATTTGTTACAGTTAATATTAAAGTGTAATTTAAAAAAAAAAAAAAGTGAGACTGGAGAAATAAGTGCTTATCTTCCTCCTTTTTTCATGGGATTTTACATATAGGATTACAAAGGCCATTTTCCAAGAAGTTATCATCATGCAATAGAATTAGGTCTGAACTGTCAAGGTGGGATGCTCAGCCTGAGCCCTCTTTTCTTTGTACCTGCCAGATAAAAGCAGTGGACAATGGCCGGCCCCAAAAATCTTCAACTGCTCGTCTCCATATTGAGTGGATAAAAAAACCTGCGCCCTCACCCATGCCCCTGACTTTTGATGAACCCTTTTACAACTTCACCATCATGGAAAGTGATAAAGTGACAGAGATTGTCGGGGTGGTCTCAGTGCAGCCATCTAACATCCCTCTCTGGTTTGATATTGTCGGTAAGTTGGGAGCCAGTGGTGTGAGGAGGATGCTTCAGAAGTAAAGCATATGGATGTGTGGTTTTGAGAACGAGAAAACTAACCATGAAATGGTCCCCCCAAATTAAATCCACTTTTGTAATGGTGAAATGAAAATGCTATTTTAATATAGTGATAACAATAATAATATTATTATTCCTGCTTTTGTTATGACTTCTTAGCTAAGCTGAAAAAAGAGCGCTGTATGGCTGAATTGTTTTTTTTTTCATACTATGTTATTTACTGCAATCTTAATGTTGTCTGTCATTTAAATTCTATTGTCATACTTTGCTAATCTCATTTCTAAATGTATTTATGGTACTTAGACTTGCTGTCCCTCATTTCTCTCTTTCTTCACCTTTTTTTCTGCATTCTGTTCTTTTTTTTCTGCTTCCGACTGCCCTGCTTCAAGGTGGCAAGCATGCTCGAGAGATGTTCTATATTCTACAGACAGCTTGTGGGCAGAACTGTTCAACAGAAGGTACCCTTAGTGCAAACACATTTGCTAAAATACAACTATCCAGGCTGCCTTTTATTTTTGCAAGTTTTTTGAGACAATTTATATTACATCTTTCATAAGTGCCTGTGACAGGATGTGATGCGACACATGGTTGTGCTGCATTTCTTTCTATGACAGCTTTTACCATATTTGTGTCCAATTATTATCATTTTATTCACGGATTTTCCACAGTTTATCACAAATAATTAATTCAAACTTTTCACAGTCCAGTGCCATCCATTTAACTGTGAAACAGAATGGAATGCCTCAACATATGGGTTACAAATGGAGCCACCAAAAGTTTGTCTTGAATGCAAGCTGAAACAGAGAAATGTGTTTTGATGTGAGATTTCAACCACAAAATTGCCTTACATCAAATTCCTTATAAAAATAGGAAGGGATAAATATCCTTAGCAAAATAGAGGGGAAGCCATAAAACTCTTAAAATCACAGGGAAATGCCACTAGCTGCCAAAGCGACAAGGAGTAAAGGGTCTTGGTTGCAGTAGAGAAATGTGAGTCAATGTTCCTAAGCATTTCTTTCCCACTTCTGCTGCTAATTTGGTTGTGTCATTTAAAGTAACTCATTTAACATCTCCAAAGTGAGAATTTCCCCTGCTAAGTTACTTTGCCTCTTAATATTTGCAGATGCTTGTATGTAATGTTTGTATATCCTTGGATGTAGAAGAGCACCTGTGCACAAAGTGGTGTTATTTAAATGTATTTAAAGCAAATACTATATGAAAGATTAGAAAAACAAAAAGCCTCTGCTACAGATTTAGCGGAAAGTGTGCATCAGCAATCTTGATTTACAGGGATTGAGCATGGCGCTCATTTCAGCAGAGCTATTTGCAAATGGCTTTAGCCAACAGGAAGGACAGGGACCACAAGAGAAAGGGTCTGTCAGAGTTGTTTTCATCCACCCTTTATAGCCAATTTGTACAGATGAAAGACAGAAGCAGCAACATTTCCTCTTTGAATTTGTAGCACGGTTTCTGATGTGCCAACCATATTAAAATTAAACCCAAAGCTATTATCGTGTTCTAGGGTTCCTGCTAGTCCCTGGGGAAAGACAGCATATGTTTCCTACAGTTTTCCTTCCATTCCCTCAGTTGCTTCAGTATACTATATGCAGTTTGTTAGCTAGTGTTTACATTTCCATTCCCTTCTCACTAACCCTTATTTTCATCCCAGGAGAAATACATCTTTTTTGATGTTATTGACACCTTTTTTCCTATTGGAACCTTTTACTGGACTCCTTTTGGTCCTTTCCATGGCAACTTCAACTCTCTTTAAAATGCTGTATCTGTTAAGTCCTCAGAGAAGCCTCTGCTCTCCTGCTGCATTCTTTTACATTATTAGAGTCTCTTGCAATCAAGCAACACCTTATAATATTTTTTTTTTCTGAACAAACAGAGATTATAGGGAGAACATTATAAAATTTAAACCTTTAATTTGTCACTTAATAGGAATAGCCAACAGTCCTGGGCATGCAGAAGGCCTTGTTGTTCCAGACACTTGGCATACAAGGTGCAAAGATAAAATTCACCCTGAGAGCAGAACACTGTGTATTTAGATTATCTTTGCTGCTGTTAGTTAGTGTCAGTATCAAAAAACACTTTTTCTCATTGTTCCTCAGTAGCAGCATGTGTGTGTGTGTGTGTGTGTGTGTGTGTGTGTGAAATGTTGACACTTTCCTTTTTGGGGAACATTGAGGTCTAGATCTGAAAAGCCCAATGAAAGACATGGGATATTAGAATTTAACTGTCATGTATGGAAAGCTGTATAGGACTGCTGATGCAAGAGATAGTTTCTGTGCTGCTGTAAAATCTAGACCTGATCCTGCTCCATCTGGTATTTTGTGATTCAGAACCTCTGTGCATAGTTCACTGTAATGTCAACAAAAACCCTGAAGGCTTTTGTAGAGGCACGGTTTAATATAGAGTTTGCAGCTTGACCTTTATCTTTATGACCTTTTCAAACTAAATGGGCATTGGAATTCCAGAGGATCTCTTTTTTAATGTATAACATGCACTTTCTCCCAGCTAAAGAAAAAGAGGAAGGAGGGCAGATGAAGATTGGCTATATAGTATTCTGTCTGCCTAACTTTGCACCTAAATTATATACACTTTAAGAAACTGTTTTAAGTTTTTGAGTTAATCAGCTCCAAGAGAGAAAGATGCCTTGTAGGCAGGGAGGTCATCTTCCCTTTGTGGACTAGAGAGGGACAGGATGCTTAGCTTTTTTTTTTTTGTTAGTTTAATTGGCAATAGTTGAGATGTCATACCTGTTTTCTGTTTTCAGATTGCATTCAACGCCATTCTCAGTTCATGCAAATCCCGCAATGTGAAAGCCATAAACATAGGTTGTTTCAATTGTGTTAAATTTATTCAGTCATTTATGAGAGGCTAATTTTCAATGGGAACTCCAAGATAAGTCAGAGACCTTTATTTCTCCCACGTAAATTGATCCTTATCTGTCTTTCCCTTTGTTAGTGGTGGGAATGGTGTGATGACTACTTTGACCCTGGAGCTAGGCTGCATGGTGCTAGTTTTTGCTTAAGTAGCATGTTGCACAACATCTCTCTGGTTTTCCAAACAGTCCTCCCTCTATCTTTCCTTTTTGCCTCAGCCTGTGCCTTTGTAAGGGCAGCCAAACTTTGAAAGCACATCAGAACTTTTTACCAAGGGTGCTTAAATGGCGATAATTTTAATATCTATTAATTTTAGTTAATTGTCCATTTAATTCACAGTGCTGCAAATTGTCTTTAATGTCAAACACATGTAGCTCCCTAGCTTCCTTTGAATAATCCTCTGCAAGAAGTATCTAAAATATCTTTCTGCTTTCTTTTCTGCTTTTTATGCCCTTGCTTTCAGCTTCTTAGCAGCAAACTCAAGGCTTTGATTCTCTTTACAGTAGTTTTATCTGAAAATTCAGTCTGAATTGCTTTCTTCTTCTTAGCATGATATAGCACATAGAAGAATAATATTTGCATGTCATATTACTAATATTTACTATGATTAACAAAATCGATAGATGATTTTTTTTTTCTTGAGGCAGTTATTAAGTTTATTACATCTTCTTTAAAAACAAAAGAAATTAAAATTTTGGCTTTGCTGATTTTTCTGAAAATCCTAGAGGTACTTCAGACTCACCTCTGATTTCAGGGTGAATTAGTTTTCTGTGTGTTTTCTCTAATTCTCTGCTCTGAGCAATGTGAGAATTGTAACAATTGGCCCAGTTTATCATTGCTGTTCTTGCTGTTAGCTTACTTTGGGACAAGACAAGTAAGAATCTTCTCTGGCCTGAGAAAATTTGGTTTAGGTGACTATTCTCTAAATTAGATCATCTCCTGTATTTCTCTTCTTGTCCACTTGTCCATTGTGGCATGGTAAGCCAAATGAGACTTGTGTGAGGATCTCAGTATATCCTGGCTCTATTAAGTTATAACATGAAGTATATATGTTGTTTGCTGTCTACCAATGAGGAAGACTCCTGCCAGGTTTTAGCTTGTATTTGATTTGGGGATGTCCTTCAGAGTTCAGTGTGATCCATCTTTGCATCTAAGACTGAACAAGTCATTCTCCACAGTCATCAGATATGTCTGAGATTTGTATTCAGTCCCACTCTTCTGGATCATTCCACTGGGACAGATTGAAAAAAGTCCTCAGATGGGACTCATTTGCTCACAAGTCCTCCATCTTTTCTTCTCAGAGGAGAAAATAATTTCTCACAATAGCATGATCCCATCTTCAACTGCGTATCAGGAGCTGATAGAAATACTGGGAGTCTCAGCATCTTCCCAATAATGAACCACATTTAGGAAAAGAACTACCAAAAAAATTAATTGCTTGCAGCAAAATACAGTATCAGCAGAATATGTTTGAAAATTAAAAAACCTCAGCATTGAAATTCGAAAGGACTGAGATGCAGAGCCCACGTTCTGTGGGAATGTGGGACCTGCATTGTATCTTGCCTTAGGAAAATTCTCTAGCTGACCTCTAGAAATCCCTTCTAAAAGGTCAGGACATTTTCTTTGGCCTGTCCATTGCACCTCTCTTGTCAGTTTTGCAAGGTACAGTGGTTTGGGGATTTTTAGATATCTTTTTTATTAAAAGGAAAATTAATTCTTTTTAAAGCACATAGGACTTTTGTCAGAAGGAAAAATATGCTCACAGTGACTATGAAACCAAGAAATAAGCTAAGAATGAGGGTAACACTCCAGACTCAGCTAGAAAATATAACTACCTCTGTACCAAGAACACAAGCTATTGTCTGTTGGCTCAATTTTAAGAGATCTCCTTCTTAAGTGTCCTACACTCGCAGTTAAATTTAAAATTGTGTCTGTTCTAGAAATCTGTAGTGAGGGCCAGCTAATAAGATCTTTTGTACCTGGGGCTATTTCTATAGCTGTCTGGATAACAGCTGGAATTGGAAAATCCAATGTTATGCTTTCACATAATATAAAAAATTACTAGTTCTAAAAATTTATTGCTTCCAGGGCTTATGCAAGAGCATTGAGATCAATGTCAAGAAAGTAAGGGTGTAAATCATCTCACTTAACTTTAGGTGTCCAAAGTGTAGACATAACTATCTGTGCTAGGTGACTTCGGGTATCTTAACAGTCAGTTAGAGAGAAAAAGTGCTTTCTGCATGAATTTTTATCATCTCACCATGATAAGTCTTCTCATCCAAAGATGGCATTGCAAGTAGATGTGGACTTTTCATGAAGCCCTACTCTAATGACTTCAGTCTAATCAGAGTATATTAAGGGAAGTCTTTAATCTGTATTGAAGGTATATCAGCATTACATTTTAGCCTGCAATGGTATTACAGACAACAGCTAATCCACATCTCTCTGGGGTTACTCAGTGTTAAAATGCTTTCCCAGGACATCCTGTCTAGCAAACTTGCCAGTTCCATCATTCTGCCTTCTTTGTCACTGATTTTCCAAAAGTGCCTGAGGAACTCTCAATGTATTATCTTCATTTGAAATATTTCTTTCCTAATGCTATTGCAGGCACACTAGCAAAGACAACTTCTACATGTTTGGTATCTGAAAGCAGGGTTTAGTGGACAATGAGAAGGAAAGCATGTGCCATGGAAAATGGAATAAGTAATGAAAATTCACATTAATGAAACTGAGCAGCTGAACAAAATGCCATCATCTTTAGCCGTCTTTCATCCAAAGATTGTGATCAAAGAAAATGTTAAATGGCCAATAGTAAAACTGGCAAAATTGATACTGTGGGAGCTTATGGCACTGCAGATGAGCTCACTTCAAAAGAGTGGTGGAGACACGGCAGCATGCTTTCAAAAACCAGTCTCAAGTACCCCAAAGCCGTCACCTCCCAGGGTCTCAGCCCTTCAACTTCAATGTGGGCAGCTTTGGAAGAAAGTGGTTTTATGGTTTCCCAGCTGCAAGGGTTTTTAAGAGAAGATTCCTGTTTGTTTTTACACAAGAACGTTACCTGTCTCTTCATGCAACTCCAGCACCCACCTGTATTTCAAAGATAATTGTGATGGATGTTTCTGTGGGTGCTTCATAGCAGGCCTTGCATAATAGACTTAACACGTCTGAGGACTTATTTTGAGTGTATATGAAAGCTGAGGAGCAATACAAACTTCCTCCAGACTGCCTCTAATACTGCAGATGAGAGGCAGGACCCAGTATCTCAGACATTATTCCCAGAAGTTCAGCCATCTGCATGGTTCTTCATCCAACCATGGTCTGTTAAAATGTACCGTACTGAATCATGAATAAATCAGGGTTTCTCTCCAAAATAGATTGTAATAACAAATCTCACAGCAGGATGCTCTCTGATCCATCTCTACTTCAGTGTTTGATGCACTTTCTGCCTTGTTTAATAGAAAACAATTCAATGTAAAATGAAGTGCATTGTCTGGGGTGGCTGGCAACCAAGATTAATTTGTCACTAGACTGTTTTAAAAGATGTGAAAAATGTATAAAAAACTCATATGATGGATTCAATTCTTATATTAGGGTAAGAATATACTTCCCTTAATGAAAACAACTTGAAGAAGTTGGTGCATTTGCAATAGACTGTAAAACCAGCTCTGAGCCAACAGATGTTTAAAACATCTATTACTAATCCCTCCATGTTACTTTTTGGAAGTTTTAAAGGCAGGGGTTTTTTTTGGAAGTGTAAGCCAGTTGATAGCATATAATTTTTGATTGCTCATTAAGATGGTTATTAAGCATCTTGAAGTATAGACTTCCACTTTGTTTTCATGGTTATCAGTATGAAACATTCTCTTTGTAAAGAGCCTACTGTCCCAAGGCTAGCTTCATTTCAGCAGAGATTTCCTTGCATGAATCTCAAACTCTTTTCTTCAAAGGAGGTTTTCATGGTGCAATTTTTCTCAAGTAAATCAATTTAAAACATTAATTGGGAGAGAAACTTCTTCTTCCAGACTAACTTTTTTTTTTCTTTTTTTAAAGAACACTGAAGATATGATCAGTGTCCAAACACCTTGCTATTGCTTGCATGTCAAGGGCAATTATATATATTATATATTTTTATATATATATTATATATTATATACATAAATTGAGAAAACCATTAAATCTGGGCTTGCAGAAGGAGAGTAGGAAATAAGGAATGTCTCCGTCCATCATGAATCATAGCAGATCCAGTGTCAGTGTTTTCCTGGAGAACCATAGCTGCATCTGTTAGGCTTAGATCTGTATATATGTATATACATATATTCAGCATAGAGAACTCTGTTGTCATGTCTGAAACTACTACATTTGGATCGTTTCAGTGGGCACAAGTTCACCAAGTCTTCCTTTCCTCTGCAGTGGTTACCTGCATTCTTATTCTTCCCCCCTCTTTCTTCTCTCGCTGCTTGAATGGCTTCCAAGGCAAATACAGACAGAGCAGTGCTTCTTCCAGCTTACCCTTTCTTTGCAATAGCCTGTGCAAGAGGTAGTAGCGAGGGTTTCTTCACGTTAAGGAATTCGGACGCTGTGATTTTGCTGTGATTCCTCCTCATCTTCAACTTGCCAAAACCTTTTTCCTCTCACAAAATTCATGACTGCTTCTGAGAATAATGCCACTTTTTGGTCAGCAAACCTTGCCAATGGGAGAATAGGAGAGACCCTCCTCTTCTCTTCTCTGTCCCCAGCCATAAAATGAGAGCCATTTTGTGATAATACCAGCCATTCACATATATATCTCTATATATATTGCATCAGAGAAAAGTCAATGGAATGGGTGTTTTTCTACCTGTGGACCTCATCTCGAGATCTGAGAAGCTTACATAAGTTTTATAGCCAGTGTGGTTTGAAAGGCTTTTCCTCTTTGTAGAACTGGGTTGTCAGGAAACGTAGCTAGTGATATTGCATTTGCTGTGTGATAAATATACCTTAAGAGTTTGTTTGTCAGCAGTGTTGTGTTCCATCTTTCCATGTCCCCAGCTTCCAAAAATTTCAGACTCAACTAATAATAAATTACATTTTATAGATGAGTAAGAAACAGCTTAGCAGTAGGGAGTGTGTGCTTTGCTTTTGAAAATAATGAGTGGTTCTAATTTGTAAACTATAACTGTGGGTGAGAAATCTTGTACTCTTCAATCTCAAATTATTTATAGCTTTCTTTTCCTTTTTAATAGACTTTTTATCTTTCACCTGAGACTCAGGAGTTTTCCCACTGCTGCATCATTCAGTGTGTAACAGGAAAAGGGGATGTTAGAACAGTGCTTTGTAAAGGGGTTTTTATGGAGAGGAATTTAGGATGTGTATCCTGTCAGATCTATTGAATAATTCCTAAAAGACTAGTAAAATTTGACCTTTGCTGCCATTAATTACCATTTTCCTTGATATTAACTTAACAAATCTCTATTTGCATTTTAAAAATTGATTATAATTGCAATTTTCAAAAACTCAGATGATGGTCTTTGCACCCAGAAGCATCAGTGAGAATTTCCTGAAAATAAAATTTGTGGAATAATACCCTCTTGAATGATTTTTATACAAAAAAGATAATTTTTCTTGTTCATTATCCAAACTACAAGGGCACACATCTTACGGGCTTATGGACATTTGATTCTTTTTATAGACTCAGCTACGGTTTATTTAAATATACTGCTAGATTTCTTTTTTTTTTTCTTTTTTTTTTTTTTGGCAATGCATTTTAATGATCTCTGTGTTCCAGTATACAAACTGTGCTTTGAAATATAAATGAGTTATGAACAAAGAAGTATCACAAGATATACTGTGTATGCTAAGGCAAGACGTTAAGATGGATGCCAGTAAAGAGATATGTCCACTTTTCAATGGAAATTTTCCAGAGATGGCTAATCTGATTGTATTTTTGTGCAACAATTAGGAGGGAATTACGATAGTTCTTTCGACGCGGAGAAGGGAGCAGGCACTATTGTCATTGCAAAGCCCTTGGATGCAGAACAGAGGTCAATGTATAATATGACTGTGGAGGTCACCGATGGAACAAACATTGCCACAACTCAGGTAGAATATCACATTCATTTCTTGGCAAATTATTCATTTCTGAGTGGAATGTATATGCTATAAAAATTAGTAATTTTTCCATTCAAGTAAAACCTCATCCTTTGAGACCAGTGATAACTAATGGAGGGGATATTTTTCAGAGCCTTTCCATCTGGCTGCAAAGAATTGGCTGTTGAAGGTTTCAAAGCGTTATTTCTCCTTTTGTTCTCTTCACGCTCACATGAAAGTAATTTGCCTTCCTCCAGCTGAGGGAGTCCCTATCACAGGCGGCAAAGCATAGATTTTGACAATTGTGTCACCCCACAATGGTCCAAAATACAATAGTGCTTCTGTGGTGTTGGGGAATATTGCTATTGATTGTATAAATGGAGTTTATACCTCTCATCCTCCCAAGACCCAAATGTGGGACACAGGATCAATTGTTCAGAGAAGAAATTGTTCAGAGGCGAAACTTAAAATTCAAAGGATCTCTCCTATAGTGTCACTGCCTGCAATTACATTGTCTTCTGCAAAACAGCCCCACTGAACCTTTTAAAACCAAGCTTGCTTATCAGGCTCAGTGCCTTTCATCAATTAAAAAGTCATGTCAGATAAACATGAAGGGCTGGGGTAACACTGGCTCTGACAACATCCTTGATGGAGAGACCCTGACACAGTGTCTGGGTATCTGTTCAGTGGAAACCAGTCTGGAGTTGGGTCATGGTCAGGGCTGTGGCAGAGGGACAGGGACTCTGAGGTCCAGATGGCACCAGGGAGATTTCAAACAGCAAAATCATTCCATATGAGTTGGAGTTGTAGGATATGGATTTATAAGGGGCTGGAATTCTACGTCTGAGTTACTGCTCAAGTGTATATGAAAAAAATAGGTTTGTGATGTTCTTTGCTTCTTTATAATGCAGAAGGAAGGCCTGACCATTTTTTATATTTACATATATGCATGCACACACAGATGCTTCTGTTTTACCTCGCCTTTTTGTTCAAATAGTTCAGATGTAAATCTGCACTCACTGAGGCAGAGCACCAGCTTTCCTAAGAGATTGTTAAATCACTGACTGCTTTCTCAATGATTTCCTGTTTATAACCAGCCCTAAAATATCTGATAATTTCTCCTGATAATCCTCCCTTGGTAAGAAAACAGCAGTTGATAGTAAGTTAAGTGATGGGAAATACACTGTTTTCCGTTAGTTTCAGAGTTAATTGCATCTATGCTAAGAACATCCCTTATTTTAAGCTTGATTGTATCTGGCCATATTCCTGTTATGCCTTTCTCTGCTCAATTAAAGAACTCCTTAAAAAACACTATTTTCTCCCCAGGAAGCATTTATTCACAATGCTCAAATCCCCTCCCAGTCTTCTGGTAGACAAATGAAGGAGAATGACTGACCTCTTTTTGTTCCCTTTCCATAAGGCGTTTTCTTCAACTCTTGAGTAATTTTTTTGTTATTCTTTGTTTTTTAATCTTGGCGACACTCTCAGTCCACATTTCAGATGGTGTTGAATTCCTAACATGACCTTTTTTGTTTCTTGCAAACATTTCAGCCGAAGAAATATTAAAAAGCATAGGGAATTTCAAACACGCTGGATACAAGTAATTTCTCATGGATATTATGTTTATTGTTTCTGCTGCTTTTGATTTAATAAATTGACCCATATAACAGTCCTCAAAACCTATTTGGATGAAACCCCTACATTTTTAATTAAAACATATGGTAAAAATATATTTCAGTAAAGCTGTTGCATTCTAAAAGAAGCCTGAGCATGCTTTGTAACAGTGATGTGACCTATTTAGGAATGTAAGATTGCTATTTCAGATTGCAATAGTATAGCATTAGATAATCACTAGCGGGTCCAGACCCTTCTTCCCTCCACCTCCTTTCTCAGTGTGGATACTGCTTAATTATTTAATTGTGGCCAGGATATCTATGAATGTGTTTGTTTTGGTCTTCACAACAGAGATTTCAAAAGCAGCTGTTATCTCAAAACTGACAGAATTATGGCCTTCCTATTTATCACTCGGTTTTACAAAACTTTCCTACTTATTTTTTGGCTGTACTTTGGAGCCTTTGATTACCTTCCTCATCTTTATTTTCTTTCTGAAACAATAATTTAAAAAAAAAAAAAAGTCAAACTGATAGGTTTAAGTAAAATACATCATAGAAAAAAAATAGCACCTACTGATGGATTTTAATGGCCTTATTCTTAGTTTTGATAATACAACACTGTAAGTATTTTGTCCCATGCACATACATGCATTTTTAACTGTAGCTGCGGGAAGATATGATAGAAGCAGAACTGGGTGGAAAGCAATTATGTAAATTCATCTCCTTGTTTAACAATAAAATAGTATAAAGACTCCCTTCAAACCGTGATGGTTTATTATGAAATAGCTGATCATCCCCATGTGAAATGGAACAGTCTTGCTTTTTATTCCACCCCACCTGTTTTCCTTTATCTCCTCTCGGCCATTTGTCTATTATATAGTTGGAGATGGTAAAATACAGCATAAAAATGCCAAAGATTTTTGTTTTGGCAACATGATCCTTGGTATGGACTTGGGGAAGTTTCTTCAGTAGTGTTCCTGCATGCCTTAAACTCCACTAAACTGTTCACTTCCTTCATGCCTTACTGTGCACATGGTTCATTACTGTACCATGAGAGGAAGGAGATCATTTTGATTTCAAAGTTACATCTGTTGCAATAATACTTCACTGTTGTGAAAAGAGGAATATTAACAAAACAAACCAACCAAACAAACAAACGAAAAATAAAGATATAAACTTCCTGTGTAATGGAAAGCCTGATTGGTTTGGGCATGATCAAGGTTTCCAAAAGGAATACAGTCTCCAAAGTGAGAAACAGAGTGCCAGGACTTGTTGAGCTCCTGTCATTTACGGTGCTGCCTGTTCAGCTGAGCCCCAGCTGTGCTGGCAGCATGGTTGGTTTAGATTGGGATGAAGGAGGGAAAATATGAACAAATGTTGACTCGTTTGATTTATGTATTTGGAGTGTGGGTATAAAACTTCTGTCAGGGGGATTAACTTCTAGGATGGCTAAGTCTCCTGACTTAGCCAGGGAGAGCTTTTGGTTTTTTCCCTTTCCTTTTTCCCATGATTGCTTGAGGCCATGCTGTCATTTGTTAAAGGTTGTGAAGGTGTACCTTTGCTCTAAATCCTCAGGAAGCACAATTCCTGCAGCTGCCAGGCAAGCTGTTGGCCTTGGGGAGGGGTCAGGGCTTCTGCATCCCGTATGCTAGAGAGAGAGACAGGAAAGCTTTGCACAGAGATTCTACTCCTTGCCACTGCCATCACCTCCCTTTGGGCTGCAAAGGAGTCTTTTGCTCTTGCTTGAGCAGAGAGACGACTTTCCCAGCAAGAAATCAGTGTAGTGGCACCTAGATGCCTACTCCTGCCACAGTTTTGATTAACTTTGACTATATAGTGATAGAAATTCTCCTGGTCACGAGTCAGGTTTATCCCAAATCCTTCTTTTTACTGAACAATTCAAATCTTTTACATACAAGCACAACAGAGGAATGACATTTATTTACTTATTTGTAGTACATACTGCTGACTTTTACTAAAATACCCACAGAAGTAGAGTACAGTGGGGAACAATTGAACAATCATCTAAGTTATGATAATGTTTCACTTTTATTGAGAATGTTGCCCTAGCAGATTGTTATTTCTTTTGAGAACAGCCTCCTGGAGTGATGGTATTATATGAAAAAGACAGTTTAACTTCTTGCTGCGTATTTTCCTACCTTCTCCTTCTTTCTCATCATCCTAACTGGTATAGCAAAGATACTTTAAAGTGTGAAGGCTGTTGCTTCCAAGCTAGCAAGCAAAAAGCACCTTAGTTTCACTTAGTGCAAAACCATCTCACTATTTACCAGTAGAATGGGCACTCAGAGAATAACATGCATCTCCCTCTAAAAAGTTTTTTGCAGATCAAAACTTAGACCTCTTTTAATACCTCCAGCTGGAGCCAAACAGACTGGAAGAGCAGATGAAAAAAGTTACTACTTATTGCCCCTTTCTGTCTCTCTCCCTTTGCAGGAGGTTGTGGACTTTTATTTATTCTTGTGCTGAGGATTAACCGTTAACTGTGAGTTTCAGTCTCACCCTTCAGAGAACACCTTTTCTTTATAACATTTTCTTAACAAAGAGGAGCTGATCAATCACTCTGAGTGAGGGTGGTTCTTTTAACTGAATGGTGAAAAGCTCATCTTAGAGGAACATGGCCAAAATGTAGATAGGACATTAGAGCCTGCCAGAAGCAGTTCTGGGCTGTGGATTCTCCTAGGGCAGACAAGGAGATATGAGGTTTCAATTCAGTTTTTCACTTTTGCTCAGTTGACTGTTTCCGCCAAACTAGAACTGACCCATCCTTGACTTTTTTTTCGGTCACATCCAGGAATCTCAGCGCTGCCTTGCCTGTGAAACAAAGATTTTTCTTTCTGTTTTAACGTAACACAAAGGGCACAGTAAATTATAAATAACTGGCCACTGAGGTTGGTAGGGAAACTGCATTTTTATGTTAAGCTTGGGGCTTGGGGGAGTGAACAACTTGTCAGGAAGTAGAAAATAAAGCTATGTAGTAAAACTATTGAAAGCAGTATTAAATCAAAATAGATTTCAAAACCTGTACCGAAGTGCAACCTGAGTTTAAATAATTCAGGCACTTAATAGGTTGTACTACAACACGGTGCCCAGACCAAGCAATTAGCCAACAGATTCTTCCAGCTTCAAATGTCCCTAAAGCAGCTGCTGGCATTTACCCAGTTTTCACTCAAATACATTTGTCCCTAAAGCAAATGTATTTGTTATGGGCAACATTAAAAACAGCTTTGGAGAGACTTCCTGCATTAGGTTTTGTCCTGCTTTAATTTGATTGTATTTCTCTAGGTCTTTCACTTACCATTTTGAGTACAAAGTCTTCACTAATGCCCTGAGTGTTACTTTGCCTAATTTGTAAGCTTGGAGGCCCATGAATCCTTTATTTGAAACTCTCTTTAACTGTGGGAAATAGGAAGTGAGCAGGGAGAAGCAAATCTTTTATAGCGAGGTGCTTGTTCAGACTATAAATTAGGCTTCGCACAAAGGAAGCAGAAGGAGGCAAGCCTGCCTTTCTGAAACCCAAGATGCACTGGAAAAGATAGGGGCTTTCAAGGAGAACCAGGCAGAGACTGCTTTGCTGCATGTTTGCTTTATGAGTGTGGAAAAAAGACTTGCAGCTAATGTTTATCAATGAAAAGGAGTTCAGTCAGTAATCTTGCACAACCCTCTGCAAAGAGGAATCCCTCCTTAGTGACAAACCAATAGTAAACATTTCCATTCATCTCCTTTTGGAGATGTGTTGGAAAAGTTTTGAAGCCTGTCTTTGATTCTATGGCAATGGGTATTGCCACTACCTAACACCCCAGGCACCTACACAGCCATAAAGGTTATTTATGCAACACAGACCATTCTTGCCATATCTTCCATTTGGAAATAAGTATGTAGAAAGTATTAATTTACACAGATACTGTGAGTCTTTGAGTCACTTCAGAAGTATAACACCTAATTTGGGGTGAAAGATGTGCTACCAGCTGGCTAAAGCTTAAGACTCTAGGGAGCAGAGTGCTGACCCTTCTGAAGTCATTGGAAATTTGCCAGTAGTACCAAGATTTTATGCCTAAATTTGGCATCCATTAAATGAATTTGAGAAACTTTCCTCATATTAACAATCTGGTGGCATTCAGTTTACTCAGCCTCACATATGTTTGTAGGATCAGGTTTTCTATGAACCTGGTGTTCATGTCAGTGTCACATTTGTCCATTATTACAGGAAAATGTTGCTCCCTCTTTTTAAGTAACACCTTACTAGAAGTAATCCTGCTGGAGCAGGAAATCTGCGTAACAAAGGTGGCATTTTATGATGATCTAATAAAAGGGGTGTGGCTCAAAAATAAACCTAAAACACCTTCCCTTGCTTTGCTGTTGCACATCTGTGGCTTTGGTAAGTCATTTAACCTTGCTGCAAGGCAGTGCTTTCCTGGGCAAAGTATGGGCATAATAGTCACTTTCTCCTCGAAAATGTTGTAAGGACTGAGGGACTAGTATCTATTTAAAGTGGGACTTAAATTCCATTTTATTTTACCTGATTTTGTTTCAAGTGACTCCCAAGACAGTTCAATTTTTAAGAACATTAAAGAGTTCCATTTTTGGGTTTAAGTGAGCTTGTATAATCAGTATTCCCATATATAATTAAACTTTCTTTTGTTGCAAGGAAAATCCACCCCCCTCTATTAAAGGAGAGACTGTAATGATAAAATTACATTTGAGTTTTGGGGATTTTAAGGGACAGCTGACAAAAATTAAAAATACTCTTATCCACTTTAATAGAAGAAATTGTCATCAATAATGACTTCTTTATTCATTAGCATCTCTAATGCCCCGCTTTTAATCTCCAAATGGAACTGGCTGTTGAAGTGCAGAGTAACTAATAAATAATGTGTATTTCAATGTGGATCACTTGACAAATCATTAAAATACTGTCTTCTCTGGGGAGGAAGGTGCCTGCCACTTAAACAGGCACCTGATCAGTTTTACAGTGGATGTGAAGTGAAATAGAGAAAATAAAAAAAAAATAAGGAAAATTAAGTTCTTTTCTGGAAATGATCAAAGCAATTTTAAATGCATAGCTCCCTGCAAGTTTGATGACCACAGCGAATGAGTACCTTAATTTTTTTATCTTTTTCCCTCTCCATGCCTTGCACTCCCCAAGCACAATCATGTGTATCAGGGCATTAGGTTAGACCTTTTTTAGTGGGAAGAAATACTGCTTTGTGAATCCACACTGTAATTTCCATAGTCTCATAGGTTACCCTTAGTCTCTGATTCTGATCCAGTCCCACCCTGTTTAGTTTGTGCAGTCTAGTGAAGGCGTAAATCATGGAGCTGTGGCTTGCACAGTCACAGTGCAAGCTTTGGAATGGATAAACCTTTCTGCCCTCCTCTGCTTTCTCAGTTTGCCAGTGATCCCAAAATGCATTAGATATAATGGGAAGTGAACACCTACACTGGGGTGATCACACTCAAATAGAATAGCATGTCACTTCTGCAGCAGTAACTTTAGGATACGTTGGTCTGTATCTGTAAGATGTTGGGTTTTTTTCTTCCAGAATAGCTTGAGCTTGCACACACCAATGTTAAAATCAATGTTAAAAATTTTAAAAATTCACAGATGCAAGCCTGTCCCTCACATGGAAGCTTTACTTGTTAAATGTAGGCTGTACTGTACTAGCCACAGCAGAATCAAACACTCGTGGTATTTTCAGTCCATTTGAAAAGATTTTACTTCTCTGTTAGACTACCTAAAATGATACATGACAAAGTTTTTATCCAGGAATTAAAAGAAAAATAAATTATTCGAGTTAACAGTGCAGCAGTAAAATAATCCAGCCATGTTATAGTGGTAAAGGACTGAGGGTATCAAAACTGCTCGAGATGATGTCTGTAAGTATTAAACACTGGTAATCAGATTATCCTCAACTCCTGTTGCTTCAGTGTCACTTCATTACACTAACAAAACTGGTTCAACACTGGCTCTATGTCCCATTAGAGTTGAAGTCTTTAATTTTTTCCTCAGGCTTTCCTTCATGTTAAAACTAATTTCTTCACATATTTTTATGATGTAGGTTTGCAGTTTTGGGGGGGGTTTCCTCAGTCAGGTCAGAAACACACCTTGATATATTATATAGCAACAATGAAAGTATAAAAAGCCAAGTAACTCTTCATCATTATTATAGACCCAGCAGTGTATATTTCCCCCAAAGTTTATTGCTATCTGTCCAAGATTGAAGCATAACTTAATATAGGTTAATATAGGTTTTGCCCTGCTTCACTCTGGTGTGCCATAATCTGATGAAAATTAAATTGTATGGAATACACAGTTGAAGTCTTATGCCATTTAAACTTACAGAGCATTTTATTTCAGCTGTCTTTTAAACAGTTCCCAGTCTAGTTCATTATGACTTCTACTTACAATTGCTCTTATTTCTTGTGGTAATGTATTCTGCAGACCCTTCCACATGTCATGGAAATCTAAAGTTTCATTTCTCTCTGAGGCCAACATCTGTGCAATATTGCAGTAAAAGTATAGCTGTATTTTTCTTTTGTTAAGAAAGTATGGGTGAACAGGGCTTAACCAAGCAAAATAATAAAATATTTGCTTAAAAAGTTCCAAGTACTTTTCAAAGCAACAAAGAAAATATCTTGATGGTTCAAGTCTCCTATTCTAAGGGAGGAGTCCTCTGCATGGCCTTTTCCATGTCGTTCATTGGACTATTTCTTATTTCAAAGCCTTTGAATAAAAAGATTGTTCCATTTCACTTACTGTAAAATTAGATGTGTGCTTTCATGGGCGTATTCTGCTAAAGATCTTCTTGTTTCCAGCACTGGAAAAGAGTCAACCCTTTACAATTCAGCTTTCAGTATTACACAGTTTGTCAAGGGTTTTGCTGCCACACTGCCCAAAGCAATAATGGCATACAAAGTCTGGAAAGCATATTTTCTCCAGGGAGTGACTTCTTCAATCGTGAAAACTACAAAATGTCATCGGAGCCAAAAACCCATAACATAACTTGTGAAAGGCAAAGTTTGCAAAATAGTGATTATTATTAGTTACCAGGGTCAGCTTGTGATATACAGAAATGGGTGGAATAGGCAGCAACAGCAGCACCCTGGGCTTTCTTCTCCCTCTCCAGATTTCTTCAAGGGTCAATACCAAGGTTCTAAAGAAGACATGTAGAAAACAGCAGAGTGTTCATTCACGTTTTTAGCAGTTCTACCATTAATAAACTGCAACAGAAAGAAGGCAAATATGTGTTGGAGGGGAAAGTGAATTAGTTGGAAATAAAGAGAGCCATCACTGGCAAAGGCAAAGCAAGAATGAAACAAAAAAAATAATTCTTCCCTGTCACCAGTGCCCTGAGATTACCTGTCCTTGGTGGAAGTTACCTGTCCATGGTGGTATCTACTGATCTGTGTGGAGTGGGCTTCCATGGTAGTGAGGTTGTGTCTCCTGTTTCCATCTCATGAAGTGTCACTGTTTCTAACACAGTCTAAGGTGTTACAGCAACTTGAAGTCTCCACTGCTGTCTTAATTTGACATTGCTAGTAAGTCCAAATGCGATATGTTGGGCAGAAAGCAACACAGGATTCAGCTGAATCTTATTTGTATAAACAGCAGATTTATGTAGCATGAAAGGGATTCTTTTAAAGCCTTTTTAATACTGGGGGGAGAGGAAATTCTATAATAGCTCTAGAAGTCTCTTGTAACCACAGCAGTTACAAGGAAGGACAAAGCCTTTCCTATGACCATCACAGAAATATTTTCCATTTTATAGATACTGCAAATATGGACCTGTCAGGCTTGGAGTAGGTCTTACAGTTAGGAATATTTTACCTCCAAAATCAAATCTTTACTACCTCTTTTGATCCAAACAGTAAGCATTTAATATTAAATAATGTTTCTCAGCCCCACCATGCAGCAGCATACCATCATCAACCATCTAAAGTAAATTGCATTTGTCTAGGTGATACTCAGTAGTCTGACTAGACTTCAATAACTTTGAATGCTTTTCTTTTATTAACTGTAGGTTCTTATCAAAGTGTTGGATAACAATGATAATGGCCCAGAATTCTCTCAGCCAAGCTACGATGTCACCATTTCGGAGGACATCCTCCCTGACACTGAAATTCTGCAAATTGAAGCTATAGACAGAGATGAGAAGCATAAGCTGAGCTACACTATTCACAGCAGCATTGATACAGTCAGCATGAGAAAATTCAGAATTGATGCCAGCACTGGGGTGCTCTATACGGCCGAGAGATTAGACCATGAAGCTCAAGATAAGCACATCCTTAATGTCATGGTAAGAATGCAATATTCACTTGGGTCAGGACACAATCACTGCTGCTTCTGGTACATTCCTTAGTCTTTGCATGAGCAAAGGACTCTCAGAGCAGGAAGTAGGCACTAATTTCATCTTGCCTGCCCTGCTGTGTATTTATTTTGCAGTTTTTATTTCAGCTTTTTGGGAAACTTTATTATGAATTCATTGTATAGAATGTATTATTTGCTATCTCAAGGGAGAGCAAGCAGGAAATTATTTAATCTCTTGGCATCTGGTCCTCTCCCTCAAGGTAATTTTCAGAGTTTCTGAAGTGAGGCTTAAAGTTATTTGAAAAGTTATTCACAGGGAGATAACTGCTTTCTTGCCATGGAGAATGCTACAGCCTTTCTGAATACAACACTCATTTATAGCTTACTTTTATAGACTTATTTCAGTACATAAACTGTTGATATACAAAATAGCTTTCTTTTATCTGCATTACTATATCTTTGGGTATGCAGAAAAAAAGATAATTACCAGTTTTTGCTTGGTGTGCCTAAGGTACAGAACATAAGTCTGCCTGTTTTCAAGTGAAGATTGTATATTATGGCAATACGTTTTATTTTTTATTCTTTAATTAAAAAAAAAAAAAAAGAAAATTAGTGTTAGTTTAAGCACTGCTGTCCACTATTTCCTTTAACCACATAACTCATGGAACAACGCATGACATGTTAAGTACAGGGGCATCTTGCCAGGGGACCTTAGAAAGCAGAGTCTGCTGTGAGATGCAGTAAGCAGGAGCTGAGTATGGCCTCAGCTCACAGAGTCAAAAGCTGCAAGTCCTTTGGTGAGCAGACTAAGAAATGACTATAAACTGAATCACAGAGAGACATGGCTGACAGAGGTATTTCCTGATGCTTAGTTTTGATCTCCACCTGATAGGTTGTTTTCTCTGTTTAAGATGAACCAAACTTTTGGGGATAGTGGTGGCAGCATTATCAGTGAAGCAGTGCTGAGGTATTTTGTATGGGGTTGAGACAGCTATGATAAATTACACCTCTGTTGACACTTATCAGCACTTCATAAGGTAATTTCTAGTCTTTCTACTATCAGTGTCATCATCTTCAAAAAGGTATGTACATATATAATAATGAAGAAGTTCATTGGCAGATATAAGCACTAGACTGACATGCCTCTATGCTGTAAAACAGGTAATGGCAAGGCACATGCATTACTATTTAACATGTATTAAAAAAAAAGTATCTGTTGCAAACCTAAACCTGAATTTAAGATGTCGTGTGGCTGCCACTTCAAAAATTCATGTCATGATGGTTAATTGCCATGTGTTTTTTCACAAGTGAAAAAAAAAAAGTACCTAAGCTCTTTCCTTTTCCTTTAATTTTACTGTCTGCCATCTTGTGTATGAATATATTTTAGGCTGGTTTTGGGACGAATGGATTTTTTATTACTTTGTGTTAAATAGAACTGAAGAAGTATTCACACTCAGATGAGTGAAATTTGTGAAGTTTTACTGGATTGATGTCAAGTTGTGTGTTATACACTTGTTTTATAGGTCCGAGATCAAGAATTCCCCTATAGAAGAAACCTGGCCAGAGTGGTTATAAATGTGGAAGACTCCAATGACCATAGTCCATACTTTACCAGTCCACTGTATGAAGCCTCAGTGTTCGAATCAGCAGCAGTTGGATCAGCAGTCTTGCAGGTCACAGCTTTGGACAAAGACAAAGGAGAAAATGCAGAGCTTATCTACACTATTGAAGCAGGTTAGAACAGAGGCTGAAACTGAAGTGTCATGATTCATGCCAAATGCCGAGCATTTGACAGTGGTCCGTCTTGACACACAAACTTTTTTGGTCTACCTTCTCCCCTATAGCTAGGCAGAAACACCTTCTCTGTTGGTTGGTTGTTGTGTTTGTTTTTTTTTTTGTTTTTGTTTTTGGGGTTTTTTTTGGGGGGGGGTTTTTTATTTTGAAATCGCTATACCCAAACCCTGGCAGAACAGAATCTCATTCTGGAACAGGCTGCCCAGGAGAGGTTGTGGAGTCTCCTTTTCCAGAGATATTCAAAACCTGCTTGGGTGGGATCCTGTGCAACCTGCTGTAGGTGAGCATGCTTTATCAGGAGGATTGGACTAGATGTCCTCCAGTGGTCCCTTCCAACCCCAGCCATTCTGTGATTCTGTGACTGATTCATGTTCACTAGATGGCTACAGAACCTGTTACCTCCAAGTCATGCCATCACAGAAGATAGTTATTCAAAATTGCAGCCAGTGACTGGTTTTCAGGGTGTTGGCTTCAGACCAGTACAGAGTGGATCCTCCATAAAAAAGTGTCCCAGTAGCTGGTATCTTCTGGTGTCTTTGGTAGTATTTGGATCAGAGGAGCACAGAGAATAAGACCAGGGCTATGCTGAAAACTTCTGTCAGCACAGCCATACCATTTTAATGGCACAAGATCTGTTGAAACTAAGGGAGGGTGTGATGACACCAGATTAAAATTGCTTTTGCTGTTAAACTCTGAACATTTTCATTCACCACGTAATCTGTACCAGCAAAAGAATTCCTCTGCTGGTGCAACAGCATGGTAATAGAACATTTGCATTATCTCTAACACACATGCAAGTGAATGTAAGTTTCTCTGGCTCACGTGAATCTGAAGTTAAGAATTATCTCTGAGATAAAGCTTTAAGAGATATACAGGAGGGATGTCTGGAAAAAGAGAGAAGGAAGTAGAAATTTGTAACCTTTGCATTCTTTAATGTTTAATTTCTACTTTTGGGAGGGTTTATTAGTAATATGAATCTTTCCACTGTAATAAAAAGAAAACTTGAAACTTATATTTCCATAAGAAGAGGTCACAAATACTTTAGATTGTCCCCATGTTAAGCAGATCACAAACCTTTACCAGTATTAGGCTCTGATCCTACTGGATTACTGTTTATCCCCATATTATTATAAAGACTTTTCTTTATAGTTAGAATGGCTTACATCAGTTAGGAACAGGCTAAATTAAAAAAAAAATAGTTAAAGAAATAAGAATACTGATTTAACTTCATATAATTGAAGCTCACACCTTAAGTTAAGCTGATATAACCTGAAACTTAGAGAAGACCCAAGCAGCTTTTTTTCTGCCATTATCCTGTATGGTCCTGTATGAAGGAGAATATATTCAGCAAACTAGAAAGTGAAGTCTTTTGCACCTATAAGTGCTAAAATTAGAGCAACAAAGATGTTAGTACTCCAAAACAAGTATTTCCTTTATGCACTGCATTTGATTTTACCATTTATTGCTCAGTATCTTAGATCAGGGGAAGTTTAACACGTGCTCAGGCAGGACAACACTGTGCCTTTATAGAAAAAACTCTGAGCAGGCTTGGTTCCTGGGACAATCTTTTTCAAGGCTATTCCCAGCTTTTTCTTGACACCATATTACTATTATGGGCTCCAAACCCAATCATCTAGAGGTGCTACCACAACGTAAAGAGCAACCTGACATGTTAGGAGTATGGTTCCCATTACAGTGGTAGTAGAATCATACGTGATGCAGACAGAAAAGTATTATGATTAGAAAAGATGCTTTAGCTATTAGGTGGTTTTTAGAGACTGTTTTTCATTACAGGCTGTTTTTGTTTCATCATGAGCTCTCCCTGCAGTGTCAGACTTTAAACCTCTGTTTACTGTAATCCCCACACTCCTCCAGTTTCATTATCCATGGATATCCCAATCTCAGATACATCAAAATTCAGTCTTCTGCTGCTGTAGTTTCTATGATCCATAAAATCTGCTGTTGATAATATTGATTTTAACTGCAGAATTCAGATTGTACACAGCCCTGTCATTCAGGGGAATTACCTCATCTTACATCTTCAAGGAGAAGAACCATCTCTGGCCTTACAGAGGCTGTCAGGGTCTAAAAATTATTTGTATTAGCAAGCACTGACAAAATAACTGCAGCAGCATTTGAAGTGTCTGTAAATGTGAGAGATACTATGATTTTTATGAGAATTTGTCGCTCTGGAAGAATCTCGGTTCCTTAGTGAATAGCATAATTTTTGGTTTAGCCAGTAAACTTTACTGATCTGAAAGGCTGGATATAAGTAGAGAGCCACTAGCAGTATTGAACTACATACACTAATATGTAGCTTAAATTAGCCTTCAAGCTCCAGAATTACAACAGATAGTGAATCGCATCTTAAAAATAGTTCACACTACCTCGCTTCATTCAGAATTCCATGTATTTGGCGTTCCTGCTACAATTTTCACATTTACTGCTCTGTGTACAGCATCTGTAACAATCACAGTTAAAAGAAAGTCTCTTGTTTATCACCTGAGATATATTTCTCTCCAGGTCATGGATGGATGCTTGACCGTAGATTAGAAGCAGTTCTAAATTTTAAGATGTGAATTGTAATAGAGGGAACATGTTATAATGATGGGAATCACTGTAACTCAGTATATGCTGTTTGTATTTACAATCAAATTCAGAAAAAGAGTCTGTATGCTTATACATACCATTTACATATGCAGCATCCTTTACTTTAAGCAGGCACTCAAAAGGACCAGTAAAACATGGTTCGCCTAATGAAGGTGATCTTTCATTATATCATAAGGATACATATAAAAAGTTTTGGATCTGTATTGCTGAAGAAAAGGTTGGCAAAAAGACCTGAAAGAAATCAGGACCCCAAAGAAGGTCACTGATCCAAATTCACTGTTTTCACCTTTATGCAGTCAGTGATATCCTTGGCTTCATGTTATAACAGGCATTTCATGACATTTTCTGCTAAATCTCATTCATCTGGATTCATCCTCCTCAGAGATCACATGATAAACCTTTGTGCCACAAGACACTTGAATCTCTTTTCTATGGTATTTGCTCAGTTTTATTTTTTCTAAATGCCACTTTAACCTTCTTATATTCAGTTCTTTGAGTCTTGAACTACTGTAATCTCCTCTATGGTTGCTTAATATCCCATTCAATTAAGAGCCTGAGTTGTTATCCATTAGTCGTGTAATTGGCTTGTTAGCCTCTGATCTCATTTCTTTGCCTTAGGTGTACATGTATTTGACTAATTCCTATAATTTAGGGATGCTTTTCCTTCCTTCAGTAGGAGTAATGTACATGCAACTCTTGCTCAGATTTTAATACTCAGAATCAAAATATAGATAGCAACACCTGAGTTTCTGATGCTTTGAACACCTTTACCATCTACTGAGTATCTGATCTTCAGAAGGAAAGTCTGGAAGTGCCTTTAGAATTCTTTTATGTTGGGCCTGTTGGGTCCTTTTAGTAACTGCCTTTAACGAATGCAGCTAATTGCTCCTGGTTTAAGTTATCATTCATTAAATTTTTCATATTTCATTTCTAATCTGATTCCAATATTTGTGTTTTAGGAAATACAGGAAACACATTCAAGATTGAACCAGTTTTAGGCATCATTACATTACTCAAGGAACCAGACTTAACCACAATGGGACAGTTTGTTTTGTCAGTCAAAGTGACTGATCAAGGTTCTCCAGCGCTGTCTGCAACAGCAATCGTACGGATATCTGTGACGATGGCAGATAACTCTCACCCTAAATTCACTCTAAAAGAATACCAAGCGGAGGTTAATGAAAATGTGGATGTTGGTACTTCTGTCATCTCTCTCTCTGCAATCAGTCAGTCCACGTTAGTTTATGAGGTTAAAGATGGCAATGTTGATGGAGCCTTCACCATAAACCCGTATTCCGGAGTGATCACCAGTCAAAAGGCCCTTGATTATGAACGTGCTTCCTCCTATCAGCTCATTGTACAAGCAACAAATATGGCAGGCATGGCATCAAATGCCACAGTGAACATTCAAATTGTTGATGAAAATGATAACCCACCAGTTTTTCTCTTCTCTCAGTACTCGGGCAGCATAAGTGAAGCTGCTCCTGTAAACAGCATAGTCCGGAGTGCGAATAACAGTCCCCTCGTGATACGTGCCACTGATGCTGATAGCAACCAGAATGCTTTGCTTGTCTACCAGATTGTTGAATCTACTGCAAAAAAGTATTTCACGGTAGATTCCAGCACAGGTGCAATCAGAACAATTGCAAATTTAGATCATGAAACAATAGCCCATTTCCATTTCCACGTTCATGTTAGAGACAGTGGGAATCCCCAGCTTACAGCAGAGAGCCCAGTTGAAGTGACCGTTGAGGTAACTGATGTCAATGACAACCCACCAGTCTTCAGCCAGGCCGTATTTGAGACAGTCTTGCTCCTACCCACATATATTGGTGTTGAGGTTCTCAAAGTCAAGGCTACAGACCCAGATTCGGAGATCCCTCCTGAACTAACATTTAGTATAATTGAAGGCAATATGGACCATTTTTTAATTGATTCAAGCACAGGGGTACTCACCATTAAAAACAGTAGTCTCTCCAAAGACCATTATATGCTAATAGTAAGAGTATCAGATGGGAAATTTTATAGCACTGCTATGGTGACAATAATGGTAAAAGAAGCCATGGATAGTGGACTCCATTTCACACAAAATGTTTATTCCACTTCTATCTCAGAAAACAGCACCAATATCACAAAGATCGCTGTGGTAAATGCTGTTGGTAACCGCCTCAATGAGCCTTTGAAATACAGCATATTAAACCCAGGAAACAAATTTAAAATCAAATCCACCTCAGGAGTCATTCAGACAACTGGCATCCCCTTTGACCGAGAGGAACAGGAACTGTATGAGCTGGTGGTGGAAGCAAGTCGTGAATTAGATCACCTTCGTGTCGCTCGAGTAGTGGTGAGAGTTTACATTGAGGACATAAATGACAACGCCCCGGTGTTCGTAGGACTTCCATACTATGCTGCTGTGCAAGTTGATGCTGAACCTGGTACCCTGATATATCGAGTGACAGCTATTGATAAAGACAAGGGTGAAAATGGTGACGTGTCATACCTTCTGAAGGAAGACTACGGACATTTTGAAATTGATAGAGGATCTGGTAGCGTCACTTTAAAAGAAGCCTTCAATTCTGATTTGTCTAATATAGAGTACTTGGTTGTCATTCTTGCAAAAGACGGTGGTAACCCATCATTGTCTGCATCGGTAGAGCTCCCCATTACTATTGTTAACAAAGCAATGCCTGTATTTGACAAACCCTTCTATACAGCTTCCGTGAATGAAGATGTAGAAATGCACACACCAATTTTAAGCATAAATGCAACCAGTCCAGAAGGCCAGGGTATCATTTATATCATTGTCGATGGAGATCCCTATAACCAGTTTAATATCGACTTTGATACTGGAGTTCTGAGTGTCATCAGCCCACTGGACTATGAAATAAATTCTCTTTTCAAGCTAATGGTGCGAGCCAGTGATGCCCTCACTGGTGCTCGAGCTGAGGTCACTGTGGATTTGATCATTAATGATGTTAATGATAATCCTCCAGTTTTTGATCAGTCGGCTTATAATGCTACTTTGTCTGAAGCTTCTTTGATTGGGACTCCTGTACTGCAGGTTGTTGCTACTGACGCCGACTCTGACAATAACAAGATTGTACAGTATCAGATAGTCCAGGACACCTTTAACAGCACTGACTATTTCCATATAGACAGCAGCAGTGGCCTAATTTTGACAGCCCGGATGCTGGATCATGAACTCATACAGCAGTGCAGCTTGAAAGTCAGAGCAACTGATAATGGGTTCCCACCACTAAGCAGTGAGGTTCTTGTTAGTATCTCGATAACAGATATGAATGACAACCCTCCAGTTTTTAACCAGTTAATATATGAATCATATGTGAGTGAACTGGCACCTCGCGGTCATTTTGTGACTTGTGTCCAAGCTTCTGATGCTGACAGCTCTGATTTTGACAGACTGGAGTATAGCATCCTATCAGGAAATGATCGGACCAGTTTTATTATGGACAGCAAGAGTGGTGTTATCACCCTTTCCAACCATCGCAAACAGAGAATGGAGCCCATGTACAGCCTAAATGTCTCTGTGTCAGATGGGCTGTTCACCAGCACAGCTCAGGTGCACATTCAGATACTTGGGGCCAACCTCTACAGCCCTGTGTTTTCGCAGAGTGTTTATGTTGCAGAGGTTAGAGAAAATGCTGCTCCTGGAACTAAGGTAATCCATGTGAAGGCAACAGATGGGGATTCAGGTGTATATGGCCAGATCAGCTACTCCATAATAAATGACTTTGCCAAGGACCGATTTTTGATTGATAGCAACGGGCAGATTCTGACAACTGAGAGGTTAGACCGTGAGAGCCCACTGGAAAGTGATATCGGTATATTTTTGAGAGCCCTTGACGGAGGTGGCAGGACTACGTTTTGCACTGTGAGAGTGATAGTAGTGGATGAGAATGACAATGCTCCTCAATTTATGATGGTCGAATACAGAGCAAGTGTCAAAGCAGATGTTGGGAAAGGTCACTTGGTGACCCAAGTACAGGCAGTAGATCCAGATGATGGAGCCAATTCCAGAATTACCTATTCTCTCTATAGTGAAGCCTCCGTTTCGGTAGCTGATCTGCTTGAAATAGATCCAGATAATGGATGGATGGTCACCAAGGGTAGCTTTAATCAGCTTAAAAGCACAGTTTTGTCATTCTTTGTCAAAGCAGTTGATGGTGGCATTCCTGTAAAGCATTCCCTCATTCCTGTCTACATCCATGTTTTACCCCCAGAAACTATTTTGCCTTCCTTTTCTCAACCCCAGTATTCTTTTACCATAGCAGAAGATACCCTCATCGGTAGCACTATTGACATTCTGCACGTGTTGCCCAATCAGGGTGCTTTGTATAGCACAGTTAATGGTGAGCTACCTGAAAACAACAAAGACGGAGTTTTCATCATAGAGCAAGACACAGGGCTCATAAAATTGGATAAGAGACTTGACCACGAAATAAATCCTGCTTTTCACTTCAAAGTTGCAGCCACGATTCAGTTAGATAAAGTAGACATTGTGTTGACTGTGGATGTGGAGGTGAAGGTGTTGGATGTAAACGACAACAAGCCTGTGTTTGAAACAGCTAGCTATGATGCTATAATAATGGAAGGGATGCCTATAGGAACAAAACTTATGCAAGTTAAAGCAGTCGATGCAGACTCGAGTGCAAATGGGCAGGTCACCTATACACTTGCGGTGGACTCGGAGCTGGAGAAGATCACAGAAGCATTCACCATTGATAGCAACAGTGGCTGGATCAGTACACTGAAGGATCTGGACCATGAAAAAGATTCTGCTTTCACCTTTGCAGTGGTGGCCTCAGATCTGGGGGAAGCTTTGTCCTTATCTTCAACCACCTTGGTCTCAGTTACTGTGACAGATATAAATGATAACGCACCTGTCTTTGAGCACGAGGTGTACCGAGGGTCAGTGAAGGAGAGTGACCCTCCAGGGGAAGTTGTGGCTGTTCTTAGCACCTGGGATGAAGACACATCTGATGTCAATCGGCAGGTTAGCTACCATATTACAGGTAAGAAACAACTTACATGCTTTCTTCCCATAGCCAGCTTTACTGAAGAACTGTGCATGTGTCCAGTTTTAGGTGAATGTTAGCTAAATTATCTCTGTGAATGACACAATTACACTGTTCACTGATGTTTTTAGTTTTTTTTTTTGTTTTAGAGAGAATTTGCAGCAAAACTGAAAAGAGAGAAAGGGAGTGTGTGTGTGTATCTCTGTTTTATTCTCTCTCAAATTTACAAGATTAATGCTTCATGATTTGCTGCAGTGCAATGTAGTGTGACCCATCAACCGATCATAATTAATATGTCAGCTTGAAAACCATCATGATTTAATTTTTCAACAGTGGGAAAAAGAAAATTTCATTCTTAGAGAGAAAATCTTTATATTTCCAAGCATTTTTTTTTCTTTTGGAATAGCATCTCTCGTTTTGAGATAGGAAAATGCATGCAGGAGCATGTTTGAAGCACCACTCTTTGGGGCTGGGAGCAGTAGGGGTATGAATGGATTTTACATTATTGAGTGAGGGGATGCCATTTCTTATCAGTATAGATTCCTGGCCAGGGAAATAGTAATATACTTAGAAGCACTGGTTAGCTGACATGTACTGTTATATACAGCATGAGGCAATTTTGATTACATTACTAACACATTTTTCAAAGTAGGTAACATTTCTCTCTTCTATTGTGTTATACTTATTATCATTCTTTTCTCCTAGATTCAGCCTGGCTTTTGTGTGAGTATGTTGTGAGTGATGGGGTACTGCAGTTATTTTTCTGCCTTCATCTTTCATTGTCCAATAGATTTTGTTAGGAAACAACTTTGTCACTGCCCCCAGTCTTAGCAATTCAAAAGCTTATATTAACTACCTAGTAATAACCAAGTTATTGGATAAATTCACATTTCTCTCACTGGATGGGATTAGACCTACACAAGATTGCATGTAGGAAACAGGCTGTGGGCAAAAATTACTTAACTAATGGGAAAACAGTTTGTATATTTTGCTCTGGAGCGTAAGGCTCCTAGCCCTTTGTTAGCTATCAAATTGAAAATGGCTATGGGATGGTGTGTAGGGAGAGCTGTGATACTCCGATTAGCCATGGATTGCCTGTGTTACACATCGGAAGTAGCATCATTTTCAAAGCAACCAGAAATTCATTCTGACCATTTACATGAATATTTGGATTTGCTTTAAAGGTTTGCAAAGACTGTGTGTTCATAATGTGGTGTGCTGTAGGATATTAGAAGTAGGGGCAAAGGTAGTCTGTGGGTAGGTCTCAGGTTTTAGAGGCTTTGGGCAATGTGCATTAGCTGCCAGTGTCCCAGTTCCCACATATGTAGGAGTAAATAAGTAATGCCTCATCCTAGAAATTTTGGGATATTTGAAGGAGTTTGGGGATCCTAGTGCAGAAAGTACTATGGGAAAAGAAAACCATTATGTTTGTAACAAAAATGTATTAGTGCCCCATGATTATTAGTTTTGTTCTGAAGTCTTGCAGTCATCTCTTATAGTTAATTATGCCTTTAGTTACATAATGATGGGGGTTTTTTCACATCCCTATGCTGTTAATTTGGCAAAAACTGGACTTTTGAATAACAACTGTCACATGTGACTCAAAAATTATAGATCATTCTGTACCCTAATTTCTATCGCAGTTCAAAATATGTCAGATATTTTTGCTGTTCTGTTAGCTTCTGAAAACATGAGATGTCAAAGCCCAAACTTTTCTTTAAGTCCTACTGTAGAATTACTAAAGTGTATGGGCTCAGAAATTCCACTGCCTTTGAATATCTGATTTGAGGTTGGAAAATGCACAAGGGGAAATTATGTTCTTTTGATTAAAATGTCAAAACATATTAAAGTATAGTTTCACTAACAAAATAGTCTATTCACACTTTACCTCAAGTTGATCTCAGGAACTGCATTTGAATGTTTCATGGAATCAGATTAGCTAGATGATTATTCAAATGCTGTGTCTTTCTAGAGGTGTTTTGAGCCATAGAAACTTCTGTGAATACAATAAACAAACTCTGAGAAAAAGCAAGACATTAACAAAAAGAAAGAAGAAAACAAATTATGAGAATGACATGTGGATCCACCAAAAACAGCTTTGTGAAAATGCACCAGGACAAAAGTAGCACACAGAAGATAGGTGAAAAAATCATCATTTAGGAAATGATAGAAATAAACATTTTGTGTCAGATGTGATCACTGAAGAGTCCTTTATGCTCTTCAGAGAAATACAAATGCTTATTGCAGTCTTCTGGTCGACTTTGAAAAGGCATTTATACACTCTGGTGGATAAATAGATATCCTGGTTTGGATTCCTTCAGTTTAAGATTGTTTTCCATGATTACTGGGAAGTAATTGCTATTTTCAAACCCACTTTCGTTTGCATTTGATGGTGTGTGGGGGGGAATTTTGCACTTCCCTTTGTTATTTGTAGTTTGATCGCAGCTGGAGCTGTTCACAAAGCAAAAGTGCTATATATAAATCTTAATAGAAAATCAATAGGAAGCGCAGATGACACAAATGCACTTAGGGAGCACAGGAGTTTCTTTTGTTTTCTTTTGAAAGCTCATTTGAGGTCATTGCCTATATCATTTGAGGTAGTTTGCCTAAAACCAGGGCTCTTCTGGTGTCTAGCCAACCAACAACCAGCCATATATTACTGAGATTTAACAGTGGCAAACTAGGAAAAACCATCAGAAAAATATCAGCTGCCAAGACTTTGGTAAAGTGTTTTATGTTCCTCAGTGATGTTAATTAGGCTTCATCAGGCACATAAATCTAAGGACATCAATAGCCTTTAAGCTTGTTTTGGCTGCATTCAAGGAAGATGGACAATGTGTTTTGGAAGAAAGAACTGGTATTGTACACTGGCTTTTTGCTGGATTACCCAATATGAGCAAAGTGATGGGTTTTGTTTGTTTTTATCTTACATTTGTGATACTGGACTTCTGGAGAAATAGATGTTTCTGTTTTTGGGGAGGCCTTGTGCTTCAGGCTAAAGAACAGTGTCTGCAATTTTACGATAGTAAAGCTAAGAGGATTGGGTTTATCATTTCAGAAGCTCAGGAAACACATACCTTAAACTGGGAGTGAAGGATAAACTTATTGATTTTGTGAGATGCAAATGTCTAGAGTTCTAACTGGGAATTGAAAATACCTAAATAAATGCATAAATGTAAGACAGAAACTAAATAAATAAGTTAGTAAATATTCAGTTCCCCATCCCAGATGGGGGCATGACAGTGAAAACTGATACTGTTGGCTGCTAGTTTTCCATTCCCTTTTAGCTGCTATAATGGCCTCTGTGTGTGCTTTAGTAATGATGTGTGCCAGGATTTGTTTATTTTGGATCACTGTCTCTCTGCATTTCATTTGTATCTGGCTGTTTTCTTTCTTTACTTAAACTTGAGCTTGATTTGGCTTTGTACTATTTGCTGACTAGGGAGAGAGGGAGGGAGACAGAGCATTATTTAAACTTCAAGTAACAAAAGATAAAAGATACTGCTGATTCTTTTAGCCTCAAAGCCTTTCTAAAAAGTTACTGGAGTGTTTTGTGTAGCTAGCACTTCACTGTTGTGACATTCAAAGTAGAACATAAGAAAACTGCCAAAAGATTTTAAAGAATCCATTAATACACATAGTCAGGAGTCTTCCGTTTAGAAAAGCTACATTATTCAGAGCGAAAAACTAATTAATTAGAATGCCCCTAGGAAACTGAATCTGCTTGCATATATTAGTGAAAAAGTTAATTAATCACTGCAGAATGAGATCTGCATCAAGACATATGTATAAGTACTAGGAAATGTTTCCTGGGCCACAGTGTGGATTTTTTTTGCCTTTCCATTTTTAACAATATTTCCCTGACAGTATTTTAGTGCTTACATCTCATTATTTCTGTTGCACTTTATAGTCCACCTTTGCTTTCCATCAACAAAATATAGAGCCAGTCCTAAGAAGCAAAAAAGAAAGATGAAGGTGCTAATAAAAAAGCCATGTAGATAAACTGTTACATGTTTGCTGCTTTCTTGGTCATTCAAATTGATACTTTTTGAATGGACTAAAGGGGGATAAAAGGGATCCCAAGAACCATTTTTTAATGCATATTCTCCAGATTCCTGGATGTGATTTAAAAGCCATTCTATCAGCAACAAGGCAACAGTGATTTTAAAATTATTCCAAGGTAGTGTTACTGCTAGCTGTAAAAGCCACCAGCTGATTTTAATTAGATTTTACCTTTCCTCTTTTCTTAGCAATGAGATACCCATACCTTGAGTGTATTGCTTCCTAGTTGGTCGGGACAGTTAATCATTTCCTTTTACAAAAGGACTAATATGCAGGAAAGCCTGATTAATATCATGAAGCAAAATAAGAACATTGGAGATCATTTTTATTAATGGTTTACAACATTAAACTCACTATGACAAGATTACAACCTTTTATAAAGGAGAGTTAAGCTTTTTTTTTTTGCCGGTGTTAAACTGAATAGAGGGAATTAAACGTCAATCAGCAGGGGTCTACCTTCTTTGAAGTCACATTCAGACTCGAGTCAGTGGACAGATTCTCATTTCCTTGAATTGTATTCAAATCTAGACTGTACAACACATCAACACTCTGTGTAACCCTCTTAAGGAGAAATGTGAGTTTATATGACACAACAGATTAAACAATGTGTTCTCAGGTGATTATTCCAGACTGTCATAGAAATCAGTGGGAAAACTGATCAAAAAGGGTGGTTTTCTATCAACAGAAAATATCTGTATTTGATATATCAGTTTAGTGCTCTGTATGATCCAAGGACCTTTTATAATTATAATGCCTGTCTGACTACTTTTCTTGAAATCTTATTCATTACAACTTGCTTTTTTTGGCACAGTCACAGCTAGCACAAATGGTGATGCTTAACAAGAAAGATCTGCTCAGCCTGACTCAACTGACTTAGTTTTCATATTAAATAGAAACCAGTCTATCTTGTCGCTGGTAGCTAATGAAGGAAGCATAGATTACAGCCTGTGACCTCTTTCAGCTTTCCCTGTAGAAAGTAGTTTTGAAATTGACGTTAGACTTCTTTTGCTTGGTTTTAGGCTCAGCCTCAAGTTCAGACCTTCTCTGCATTATTATTTTGCTAAAAGGGTTCCTGAGAACTGACAGAATTGTGACACCGAAAACAACATCAGAGACACTAATTGCCTGAGAGCAGTCAATGCAAATAAGTTGTCTTTTTTTTTTTTTTCCTAATACTTAGTTATGCAATCATTTCACGCAAGTAACTAGAGGGGAAGGTTTAAGAACCTCATCTTTCTATTGAGCTTGGACAGATCGCATGACATGTCAGAACCCTGAGTAGTTTGTAAGCAAATGTACACTAATATGTTTGACATTCTTGAACTTGTTGCAAGAAAGAATAAGCATTCCCTTAATAGTTTTATACCACATTTAAACATGAGCAACATGGACAATAGTTCTCAGATTGCATTCCTGCGTGGAGAGCACATGAGAAAACCTAATATGGTGAGCAAAGAACTAGTAGCAGGTTAACTGCAATTAAAGTGCATCCAGTGGAGCAGCATGATGCTTTTTAATATGTCCTTGCTCAGTTTCTGTAGCACATGAGTTTGCTATGACTAGAGTGGTCTGTCATAAATTATTAAATTTTCAGATATGTTTTCACAGACTAAGGTTATGTTAGACATTGGGCACAGAAGACTGGGTAGTTGGCTTTACTGGCTTTGGCTGGGGTAGAATTAATTTTCTAAATAGCACCTGTTATGTGGCTATGATTTGGATTTGTGCTGGAAACAGTGTTTCTACCACAGGGATGTTTTAGTTACTGCTGAGCTGTGCTTACACAGAGTCAAGGACTTTTCTGTTCTTCACCCCACCCCACCAGTGAGGAGGCCAGGTATTCACAAGGAGCTGGGAGGGGATACAACCAGGACAGCTAGCCCCAGCTGACCCAAGGGATATTCCAGACCATATGACGTCAAAAGCTGAGGGAGGAAGGAGGAAGGGAGGTTGTCCAGAGTTATGGGATTTTTCTTCCCAGGTAACTGTCAGGGTAACAAAGCCCTGCTTTCCTGGAGATGGCTGAACACCTGCCCTGAATTCCTTTTTATGCTTATACACACAGCTTTTTCTCTTCCAGTTACACTGTCTTTGTCTCAACCCGTATGTTTTCTCACTTTTACCCTTCAGATTCTCTTCCCGTTCTCACTGGGGAAGAAATGAGCAAGCAGTTGTGTGGGGCTGAGCTGAACAGTGGAGTTAAGTCTTAACATTGGTTTAAAGGATTTTACTGTCTTGTCTGACAGAAGGTTTGAATCAGAGAAAGGTGATTGAAGGTGTTTCTTCATGGACCGTGCAGGAGGCTGTACCATTTCAGATAAAAGAGTAGATAACTGTTGGAAACATTAATGACTGTGCCCCCCTTAATTACTGTACACTTCTGCATATGACATGTCCTTCCTTCCTTCCTTCCATCCTTCCTTCCTTCCTGAGGATAATGTGGACCAAAACTTTCCATTTCCCAACCTACTTTTGTCAGCTGGCAATTTAATGATGTGGAAGAGCAACACTGCCAAGTTCAGTGTCAGTGTTAGGGCACAGTGAAAAACTCTTCTGCTTTATCTCCTGAACTCCTTTCATCATCTTCCAGTCTTGGATATATTTGATCTAATTCTACTGCTTATCTTCCAACTGTTCCTCAAATGACTTCTTGTTAGGACTATTTAATACTTAACGTGTCTTCCTGTGGCATGTAAAGTTTTTTAAAAACTAGGATTTTAATAAGCACAAGAATGGCACAGTTGTATGATAAAGCTTTCATTAGAGCATTCCTTAATAGAACCCTCTTCCAGTCCTTGATTGCATAATCAACAGCTAATGAAATTGTCTTGGTAACAAGAGCTACGGTGTATTATATCCTCTCCCGAGACTAAGTGGAAAGACAATTGTAGCAGCCCAAGAGGACTATTGATTGTTCACAGTTTGAATTTGATTACCCTTACGGGGAACTAAACAAGAGATCATCTTCAGCTCTGCTAAATGGATTTTGTTTCCACTGAAAGTTATTGGTTCACTTTCACACAAGGCATTCGGGGGGGGGGGGCAATAAGCATGGGGAGCATAATCTCATTACAGATCTTCCGAGTCTGCAAGTTTGGAAGCACCAATCACTGTGAAACAAATGATGGCTGCTTAGTTCAGGTCCTCTGCGATGTGTCCGTGTGTTTATACCAGGTGGGAGCTCTGAAGGGACACTCCAGCCCATTGTGTGTTGCTTGTCTTGTTGCAGGAGGGAATCCCAAAGGGAAGTTTGCTCTGGGACTGGTTCAGAATGAGTGGAAGGTTTATGTTAAAAGGCCTCTAGATCGGGAAGAGCAAGACATTTATTATCTGAACATCACTGCCACAGATGGCCTCTTTGTAACCCAAGCTGCTGTGGAAGTGAGCGTCACTGATGTTAATGACAATAATCCAGTTTGTGAACAGGTGAGTTATCAACACATGCACAGAAATCGATGGGTCCTCTCTGGGTGTTCTTTGCTATTTACAGGTATTCACAGGTGATGCCAATTTTCATCCTTATGGTCTTAGTTGAAGAATTTGGAGTGATCTGGGAGAGTAGCAGGATAAAGCATTCCTGTGAAACCAAGATTCAAGGATAATGGTCTCATAAAGCTAGCAAAGGAGCAATGTACACGGTGGCCTTAGATGGCTTTAGAACAAATGATGTGTTGTGAGGTGACATTCAGCAGCCACTCCTCCCCTGCAGAAAAAAAAATATGCTCCCCTTTCACAACCCACATTGAAATGCCTCCAATGCAGTTTAACTTCAGCTTTCCTGAACCTTCCAGGTGCGAGAGATGCAGTGTAAAAGGCAGAAGGAATGTGACTTGCTCTCATGTTATTGGGAACACATGCAGTTAGCCTGACCACACCTTTAAGAGTGCTAGCTGTCTTTTGTTCTGTGGAAAGACAATACAGGGAACTAATGTTAGCACAGTTTAAAGGTCTGTGTGAAAGAAAAGGCATGATAAAACCCAGAGTTCCTTAATGGTACTGCTCTCAGAATATACATATATATAAATGTGTGTGTGTGTGTATGTATATACTCATATAATTCCCATTGTTGCATTTTCATTGATGGACTACTGTCATTGCAAGAACCACTCTGTCAAATCACAGTCTGTATTTCCCTCGAAACTGCTTGATGAGGTGATAAAAACAGTTGTTTCTGTTAGCACACTCATCAAAATTTTCATTTCATGGATGTCAATGGAATAAACAGAAGGTAAAAAATGGTATTTCATTAAACACCTAAGATGAGCCCTATTCAGAGTCATAATTTGGCATTGTTTCCTGTGGCACCTCAAAGCACAACAGTTACTTGAATTGCTAGGAATGTGTTGCATAAAGGAAAATTGTTTTCATATAGGAAGATGCACTACAAATTGTTTAGCAAACAGCTGTGCAAAGACTGTAAAATACTGTCACAGCATAGCTTACATTTCTGTTTTTGACTCTAGGTTGCATACACAGCACTGTTTCCTGAAGACATTCCATCAAACAAAGTCATTCTTAAAATCAGTGCTAAAGATGCTGACATCGGGTCCAATGGTGAAATTCGCTATTCTCTTTATGGTGCTGGGAACAATAAATTTTTCTTAGATCCAGAAAATGGTAAGATGACAACCAAATGTTTCTTAATAGCTTTAATTCCTTGATACCAGTGGGTGTTCATTTCCTTAGCAATAGTTAGGTTCATTTGGCTATAAGCCAGTTGTTTCAGTTATGGCAGGTGTGGATGACACTTAAAGTGGTGGTGGTAGGAGGGAGAAAGAGGGACATCTTTGTTGGCCAGATTGAATGTTATAACCAGAACAGTTGATATCAATACTTTTGTTTCCCTGCAGACTTCAAGTTAGGTCAGAGATGTATCATAGAACCTTAGAACAGTTTGGGTTGGAAGAGAACTTTAAAGGTCATCTAGTCCAACTCCCCTGCCATACACACAGTAATCTTCTACTAGATCCTGTTGCTCAGAGACCCATCCAGTTAATGTTTCCAGGGTAACCTGTGCCAGTGTTTCACCATCCTCATAATAAAAAAAATACTTCCTTATATCTAGTCTAAATCTACCCGCTTTTTAGCTTAAAACCATGACTCTTTGTCCTATTGCAACAGGCCCTGCTAAAAGGATGTGTTTCTGTATCTATAATTCTATAAATCTTAATAGTAACAGAAAGACAAACTTGGGAAACCATGGTGGTGTTCATATGGGTGAAGCTGTAGGCTGTTGAAGGCCACCATGAGTGGCTTGTCATCCCTGCACTCATATCGGCAGCTCTCTTTTCTGAATGCAGAGCAGAGGGAAGTGACACTGCTGTGAGTCTTTAATACATTCATTGGAATAAGCGAGGTTGGTTTTGTTTTTTCTTTTCTGTTCCTGTGAAACACATGTTTTGAGACACTTAAGCTATCTAGAATCAGTGATGTTGCTACAACAATAGTGATAGCTGCTGTTTTTCATCAATTTTAGGTGAGCTGAAATCTTTGGCCCCTCTTGACCGAGAGAAAATCCCTGCATACAACTTGGTTGCCCGAGCCACTGATGGTGGTGGCAGGTTTTGCCAATCAGAAATCCATCTTATTTTAGAAGATGTTAATGATAATCCACCAGTGTTTTCATCTGATCACTACACTGCGTGTGTCTACGAGAATACAGCCACTAAAGCTTTGTTAACAAGAGTCCAAGCCACTGATCCTGATGTCGGTAAGTGAGAAACATTGCAAACAATAACTAACACTCAGGAAAACTCTGTGGATTGGTGGAATTGCAATAGAGATTAATTTTTCCATAGCTACTTTTCTTCATTTTCGCCTCCTTTTCCTTCTTTGTGCTCCCCATTTCTTTCTCTTCTGTTTCTTTACATCAAAATGCTTGTGGCTGAGCTTGACAGAATGGTGTTACAAACAGAAAAAAGCATTGCAGCAGCCACAGAAGCATGTAGTCTTTTATTTTCTTGATTGGCAATAGCTGTGTTCAGGGGTAAATGATTGTTTTGGGGGTAAATTCCAGTTTTTTTGCCTTCCGTGGTCTCACCTCTGTTCTTGAGCTGTGATTTTGAATACCCATGCCTCCATGCAAATAATATAGTTACATGCCATATACCTATACCTGATTAATCACAGCTTTTCTAGGGTTTCATACTGCTATAGCTCCCATTTGTTCCAGCTGGTTACTTTAGCATAAAATTATTGTACACTATGAATGTACATTATAAGTGCTCTGGTTATTTAACTGCACATTCTTTGAAAGTGTAAGAGTTTATTATCTGAGGACCTTAACCTTGAAATCTGGGCTGAAATATAAATATTTAAAGGAGGTCTTTTTGCATAATACAGTGGTAAAACCTACTGAATATCAGAATTTTTTTAGGTCGCTCACTTGAGTCGAAACACATAAATCCCTTAGTTTATTTTTTTCTTCCTGTGTTTGTAGATGTTTTGTAAAAACTGTGGCCTGAGTAGTTACACATAAAAAGATCTTTCATTCAGTGAAAAAATATTTCACGTCAATTTTTTTTTTTTTTCCTGAAGTACACTGCATGCTGGAAGTCTCAGTTGTTACTGAGGCTGATAGTGTAAATATACAGGAATCCATAAAGGAGCAGCAAACATTCATTAATGTATCTGTGAAGAGCTGCATTATATGCCTTGTTTGAAAAGTGACAATTAAAATTATGATACTGTTCTGCAGTGAAAAGCCAATTACTGGTAGTAAACTACTGAACCATCTGAAGAGATAGTGTTGTTGTTTTCCACTATTGTCTTAATTACCATTTTTCTTGTAGGTGAGATGACATTCAAGGGGAGAGGGGACACAGAAATAATTAGAATAAAAATTCGTCAATGAAAGTTCTTGCTAGCACCAGCTTTACAGAATAAGATGATTAGCAGTTAAAAAAACCCCAAACCGTGAGCTAGCTTTCTTCTGAAACTAGAAAAGTTAAAGGGAGGGATGCATGTAATGAATAAGAAGTGACTATGTACTTCCTTAATTATTAGACCTGAAAATTAAACCATGCATTGTATCACATGAAAGTGACTAAACAAAAGTCCCTAAAACTGGATTTTGTTTTAATTGCTGTTCTGTTAGTCCCTGCTAAAATCACTGATTCCTTATTGCTGCATAATGAACAAGTTCAGGTGGTGTAACGTTCCCACAAGAGAAAAATTTATTGTTGATATTCCTGATGGGTTATGATAATCCTGTAAGGTTCTGTGAAGCATTGTCCTGAAAGCATCATTGGAGCCAGTAATCATCATACAAAACAGTTTTTAACATTCAGGACACATCTTGTGATTAGTCTTAGAATTTGCCCATTCTTCTGTCTTGGGCTTTAAAGAACCGTGTACTGTAAGGATAGGAGCATGAATATTGAAGCCATTGAGGTAAAACTTGAAAGAAGTCCAGTTGTGGTCTGCAACTAAACACAGTTTAACAGAAACCTGAAAATACTGTGGGCAGACATTGTTGGATAATTAAGACAATTTCCAGTGAACAGGAAAACAGTGTTATATCTGCCTTGTGCCTTCTGTGTCCCTTGAAGATCCTGATTGCACTGGACCATAAGTTGTTGTTTGATATATTTTTAATTTAGATATATACTTAGAAACTAGTTGGACATACTGAAGAAGAGATATGATTCTTCTTCACAGTATTCAACAGAAGAAAATGGCTTTAACTGTTTAGCTGTAGTAGCACACAAGCTCATTTTCCATAACCTCTGCATATAGCTAGGGATCTTAAATGAAATGATTACTTGGAGAGAGATTATACATAAGTCCATTTGCTAAGGCATTTTAGTTATCTTAATCTAAAACAATTCTTTCTCCTATCCTGCTGTAATTTAATTTTTTTAATATTTCCACAATATAGTATTTGCTATTTACTCATCACCATCAGGTTTGGAAATGTTCAAACTAAGATATAAAACGGAAATGCTGGGTTTACATTTTTTTAGAGACATTCAGAGAGAGCAGTGAATTTTCTACCTCCTACTGTCTCCAAATCAAAGTGCCAAATTACTCCATTCTGTTCAAATTAATAGACAAGAAGAGCTGGAGTGAATGCTGAGGTGTAATTATCTGAGCAAAGCCATCAGACAGCTACAGGATCAGCCTGTTTCAAGGAAATTAGGGTCATGGTAGAGCAGCAACAGCGAGGAAACCTACGTGGGACTTTGTGGCAAGCATGATGTTAAAAACATTATTAATAAACTTCAGAATAAACCTGAAGCCCAATCCTGACCTTCAGGTGCATATTGATTTCCAGTGCTGCTCGTCTTTTTTCTATGCACACAATGTTATGGCCTTGCTTGCACAGTATAAGAATGAACAACAACATGGTACAAACTCAGCTGTACTTTAAGTGATGGTTAAAATCCTACCTCACTCACAGCTGCTTTACTTTGTGAAGGAACTCCATGCTTTTAGGCCTGTTTCCGTGATGAGTGACGGTGTAAGTCTACAAAAGGCAGAAGCATTTACTGTACTAAAAACAAATAGTGTGTTTATCCATCCTTCTGCAGTCTTCCTCACCACTGGGCCATCAGACATCCAGATCTGTACTCAGTTTAGTGATTTCACTGATCAGTTGATTTTTTCCTGAATTTATGATGAATACAGGTTTCCAATTTTGCTTAAAATGGGAACAACCTTGTCAGCCAGCTCTGTCTTGCCTGCTACTGCTGCCTTTCAGGCTCTGCATTAGCCTATGGTTAAAGCCATGGATGGTAGTCATTAAACAGGTCCACCCCCATTCCCTGCACAACCAGGCAGTACAGATGGACTAGGTCATCTTGGAGCCAGCACGTTGTATTGCATGCAGCCAATGTGCAGGAAAATACAGACATGTAAGTAAAAAGTTGACAGGAGTGGTCTTTATTTGCTTGCAGAGTTCTCTGCAATGTACAGACTGCCCTTCTCTGTTTTCAGCTGTCCCTCTAACTAAGAAAAATAGTAAACAGTGGGCTACTTTATTCAAGGCGTTTTCTCACTTTTGTGCACAGGTTGCCCAGAGTTTCAGATGTGTCCCAGCTTCTGCAGGGCTTGTAACCTCACAGACAGAACGGTCTGAAGTTTATTCATCAATTCTGAAAAAAAATCCAACTATTTTGAGGGTGGAGAGATTTGAATGATGAGCCTGGATTTCTGGTTGTTATTCTCTGTATTTGAAGCTTTCATACTTGGGTGGAGTGAGAGAAAAAAAACGGGTGTAGAAAGTCTAATTCAGGGAGCCAGGATAAGATTTGAGATGCTCCCAGAGATATGTTTATACAGCTAGGGTATACAGGTCAACTGTGGTTGAATTTGGTCATGTTCTTTAAAGAGTTGTATAGAGTTAATTATTGTTTGGATGAGGATTTATGAGAAAGATTCTGTCATTGTCTGCTTAGTGCATTTGTGTTTAATCTGGAGAGTTTAAATCAGTCCAGTCTCTAGTCAGTTTGAGTCTTGGCATGAGGAACTAATTATTCACCTCTTCACACAAAATAGAAGAGCTGCAGCAGAAGAGACTCTACCCTTCTGGGGGAAGCCATCTGACCTTCTCATTAGGAGACATGAGATACATAACCCCAGCCTTCTCCACCAAGTATAGAAATGAGAAGCAGGGTAAACCTGAGGACACCTGCAGGTCCAAGTTCACTCAGTAAGCTGTTTAGGAGAAAACCTAGCTTTTGCTTTCTTAATAAAAGCAGAAACTAATAGGAATGCAGAGATACAGTACACTGGACCCCTGAAAAATTGCCAAATAAAAAATAATAGCCCTGTGGAGTTGAGACTTACCTAGTGTTAGGAGGTAAATAAACAAGGTGTTTGGAGATTCTGATAGAAAACTTAGGTTTCTGCCTAAACAAGCCTTCTTTCATATTGTTGATTTTGCTTTCCATACCTAGGCACTCATGAGACCTAATCCAGTAAGTTTTCAGTCTGTATGACCCTGTTGAATCTGTCAAAGGGCCAGATTTCTATGGCTGCAGGTGGGTAGTCAGGGGAACGCAGTCACCCAACTTGCATTGTGAACATGTGTATCAGGATGACTTTTAGAGCTCATCTGTGTTCAGCGAGCAAGAGTCATCAAACCAATCTCATTTCCTTCTGCAACATGTGAAGAGGCCATATAGAAATAAATATGAGGGTTATGGCTTAGGTTTAGTGAGGTTTTTGACCTAGTGCCGCATGATATTTTATAAGCAAGCTATGGAAACACAGTCTACACAAAAATGTTGCCAGATGACCTTGTAATAACTGCTACACTGGAGGGATAAGTTAAGAAATGTACTGGGTGCAAAATTGCTCTTATTTTTATTCCTGAATGGGTAAGTAGGCATAAGGACTGTATTGCAAAATGTCAGAAAGTAGAATGGTGCCACAAGTACCCTGGATAGTGCCAAAGTCATAGCTGTGGGATTTAGCAGTTGAAAAAGTGGTATGGAAAACCACAATGCAAGTCATCAAGATAAATGTGACATCCTGTGTTTAGGCAAGAATAACCAAGTGCACCAGTATTGTCTAGGTAATGATTGACTGGGCAGCAGAACTGCAAAAGGCAGCTGTATTACTGTGAATTATAGGCTGAATGTATGTTTACACTTTCATACTGGTGTGGAAAGGCATATACTTTAATGAGGTTGGTAAACAAGAGTAATGCTGGAAAACAGAAGTAGTTATTTCTGTTTATTTGGTGTTGGCAAATCCTCACCTGAA